ATGAGCTTGCAGAATACTGTGACAATACCAAATTAATTACTTACGAGTAATCAGCGCCCATTGTTCTGCGATTTGTCGCGTACGTCTCCTTGTTAATTGCAATACTATTATGCACATGCTTATGCATCATTATGGGCATAATAAGACAATTGTATATCAAACAAATTATTCCCTTATACAGAGTTATTGCTAATTCAACGTAATACCGGTAGGTGATAGTGGTGACTATTTATTATTTAGGTATTTATTTACAAATGCTTGCCAACATTAACAACATACACGTATAGGCAAACATTATTTTATCGATTTCAAAATGTGAGGGGAGCAACTATCGATATCAGGAGCTTGCCACAGTAACCATAGCCGTTGAAAAAGAAACGGCCAGCTTTAATTGCCAAAAAATATGTTTTTTCGTTATGTAATACATTTAAATAAAGTAAGTAAATTAGTCCCGATATCATTATTTTTACGAATTAATTCGTAATGTACGTAATATGCACTTAATGAACTGATAATATGATGTTACTGGCTGATACGTTTGATAAATCAGAAAAACTAATTATACAAATTCAGCAAAAGAACCGTAATGTTTGCATTTCTATCGACTACAGACTCATTAGTCTGAGCTCATTCCACTTTTCTCAAGTAAATAAAAGTAATTCAAGGTATTAATATTTTGCTTGCTAACGCAACATGCCGAAATGTTTTTAAAGGCTATTGAAAGTCCAAGATTGCCGAAGCAATTTAGATAACTTTCAGAGCTCAAGTTTCTTGGACATAGTCCATATTTCCACTAGAGATGTCCAATTTCACAAACTAATTTACAGTAGTTTCCACTCATCCGATTTCCTAACAGAAACCACTTGAAACTTCAAATATTCTTCGACTATTTTGCTTCAAAACGAATAAAGGATTTAGAAGCTAAAAATTGCACTAAAAGTTTTTAATTGAGTTAATTATAGGTTGTCACCTAACGTAAAACTATGTTATGTTTGGTTAGAATACTCACAAGAATCACTTTAACGTTGATTTTGATTGTAAATATTAGAGCTACGAGCCTGCGTCTTTGAACTCTGAGGATTCACGGCTGTGCACCAATGGACTTCTCTTCATACATCCAAACCGACGATATTTCACATATCGACATGTACACCTAGAAACAAATGATCAAGTAACAGATACGGAAATCTTAGGCCAAGACTAAAAGCGCCGATTTTTCACATATGCCCGTGAAAATAACGTGTTGAAAGGCGAATTTATTTCTATAAACCGAATAACCGAGATGACTGTTACAGGCTACTTCTTGGTGTTAGTGTAAGGTGTTGAGATTTTAACGTGCAAAATCAATCATATTATTTCCAAGGACTATGTTTTTAGCGCCCTACTGATCGTAGCTGGTTGTGGAGTGGACTTAGGAAAATTTGTCAAGATTAGATACAGACTTTTTTGTGTATTTATGGTGTTAACAAATAGTTTAATTTCTCAAAAAAACGTGTGTGTTCTTTTGTACACGCGTTAGAAGTTAAAATTCTTTGGCGTAACAAGATAAAAATCTTTTTAAATTTTTAATCTTTCGCCGTATTCTACGTTTATAGAAAAAACTACACTAACAATAGAAAAAAGCTATTTAATACATTGAAAGTTTTAGTATAACGCATTATATAGCTAAATAAAGTTTTTTTTAATATCACAAAAAATATTTCTACATATGTAATTAAAGAAATTGACATTTTTTTATTTGAAAATGTTGACTATGCTAACTTCAGGGTGTCGGTTTTTTTGTGACGGTGTGCGCGCTTATCGAAAAATTTACTCTCATCAGTTTTCCCTAACGCACCAAAAGAAGTATAACTTCAAAAAACGGTTCTAAAGGTGTTTTGAGACGAATTGCTCAAAAATTAATGGGACGACGCCGTGTATGACAAATTATCTACAACATATTTGCTGCAAGTTCACAAGAACAGCGACAGTTGGCTAGCCGCCACGTCTTGGGGTCATGCTTCGTTATTAATCATGACCTAGCTTGACCACTAAACGATAGCTTATATACCTCAAGCAATAATTTAAAATTCAACTGCCATTTTTTTGTTCTATATGAAGGTACTCAGTCAGAGCCACGAACCGATCTATAATATTTGTTATTGTAAATCAGTCATTGTTCGTATCCCGTTCATGCGAATATGTCAAAGTACTAAGCGTTAAGCCGTTACTTTATGAGCATAAAGTAATATTTATTTATCTGCACACCAAGAAATTTCAGATGTAAAAAAAAAACATGGCGATTAAAAAGAGTGGCGGAGAGTTTATTGCCAGTTCTTCTCTTCCGTTCTACGCCCTTGATTTGAAAACTGGCTTCTTTTTTTTTGACGTACATTGTGTTTGTTACCTGTATGATTAAATGAATTATGACTTTTTACTTTTTCGGATTCAAGAAATTAGAAAATATATTTGAAACTGATTCAGAGAGGAATTATTGAAAAAGCATGTTCATATGAATCTAGATGACCTGGTAAATTTCGTGTTACCTACATATATTTGTGTCAAAACTTAATACAATTTTATTAAAACAAACCAACAACAACATATCAATTGTATTGTAAATTCAAAATGTAGAGCAAAGATAAAAACGAGTTTAATTTCAAGAATAATAATTGGGACGATTTTTTAATTATGTATCGTGAGTTATGTAACCTAACATTAGTTAAGTTACATATATATAAATTATATATTTTAGTTAATAATTAGAAGCGTAAACGTCCTTGTAAACTTGAAGCCAAAATGAGCCCTTTAGTTTTTTCACACTCATAAATTGTAATACAACATTCTCGTTTCCGCTAATGTCCAAAAAGGTCGACTATACTTGTATTGAAGTGTCACTTAGATTTATGAACCCTTAGATAAGTCAAATTAGTTTTTGTTAGCGTCGCAACCCCACTACCCCTAATTTTATGTTAGTTGTAAGCTCATATTTTGATGTTAACCAGTTTCAAACAAAGTGTTTTATTTAACATATATCTGAACATATTTACAACAACCATCACCGAACTTAACACGTATCATAATATTTTTCAGTGTCAATATACTCGTAGAAATCGATAAGAAAATAAATATGTTTGGACATCGAACGTTTTTTCATCATCATACGAATTTAAACTATTTTTACCTCGATTTTTTGGTGTCAAATCCTATAGCCAATGTTCCATTTTCTACATTAATAGTCTTTGTGTCTCTGAATAAAATCCCTGGAAGTCACTCGTCGCATATGCATTATACGCCATGTTCGTGACTGGAGGGGCAATTTCATTACATCAAATTCTAATTGACGACCAAACCGCAAATATGTTTACTAATACGCAAACCACTTATAAGTTGAATCTTATCTTTTGTGAGCTATCAAAATATCGAATCTAATTAGAAGATATTTTGTACTCTAGCTATTTTAAATTATTTCTATTTGCCCGACTATGTTGTTGTCCTGAATTAACCTGTATTAATATATAGAACATATTTGTAAAATATATTAATAGTAATTGATTGAAATCAGAAAAGCAGGGTTAGAAATGAATGCACAGAAAGAAATGGAAAGGCGCATAGGAAATGCATTGAAAAGATTCTGGAGATTCATGGAAATATTTAAAAAAAGGAAATTAGTATGGTTATGAAAAGGAAACTCTACAACACGAGCGCGAACGCTATATATAGGTAGAAGCCTATATTGACTAAAGCACTAACCAAAATACTTGAAACATGTCATCATGAATGCAATGAATAGAAGCATGATTGGGATAAAACTTTCTGACAAAATAAACATATCAACAATAAAAAATCACAAAAAACTAAAATGGAAGTGGGCTGGGTATACCATCAGAGGACAGTCAAAATGGAGCAAGTCATTAATGCATGGGTACACAGGTCACATGAAGAGGAAAAGGGGTAGACCATTCCTAAGGATGCAATACGAGCCGTGGCAGGTGGCACATGGACCCGAACTGCCAGGGTCAGAAATTTATGGTGGCAATTGGATGAGGCCTTTGCCAACAAAAGGTAAACAGACAAGGTTGTCGAGGGAATGTAAATATTCAACTATATTTAAGTTAATTTTTTCAATACATAACATGTATATTCTAGCTTAAGTAAAATTGTATCTTATCTGAAGAAAGGCTTATATTATTATTATTATTATACATATTCGTTAATAAAAATAGTATTACATATTTGTGTTGACAACTTTTCATATTTTACTAGCGAACCCGACAGAGCGTAAGCTTTCTATAACTTAAGTGGTATTTATTGTAAACAAAATTTAACTAAGATTGTAGATCGATATAATAATTTTAAATACTCTTAAACAAAACTCCATATAGTAATTAAATTGTAATTAGTAAAATTTTATCGTAATTAATTAATTGATTCAAACGACGATTTTCAATAACTTACTAGATTATTTCTCATTATTGTATTAGTAATAATAAACATTAACTAAATTATCTATTATTTTATTCTAAGAATATTGAAAATAGAACCGAGCCTATATGACATAGTTCTTCAATTCTTATAAGGCCGGCAATGCACGCGCGAGTAAGCCACGGACAATTGGGCGACCAAACATCAGTTTATCCTCTTGCCCCTTTTCTATAAAAAAACAACAATTTTAGCTACTACAGGAAATTCTAGGGAACATTTTAGTCATTCCTACTATAGGGTTTTCTTAATTCGATGGATAATGACGAGGCAAATCAAACCATCACTTTTCCTTCCTTCACGTATAACCATTTTGACGTCACCGTGTCATACTTATTCAGAACAATTTTATAACTCACCTACACAAGTCGTGTAAAAAATTGTATTATTCATAGACAAAATATTTGAATCGTAAATAATTGCTTGTATGAAATTGGTGCTATCGGTACAATCGATCGTAGATTAGATATTGATTATTAAAGTGCAGGTAGTGAGGTTGTGTTCGACAGTGACATATACAGAGTGTGGTGGACAGAGCTATGGCGCCATGGCGTGAGTTACCTTATGAAATCCGCGATGTGTCGCCAGAAGAGGATAAAATTATCAAGAAGTGTTTGATTGGTATGTTTGGTGTATAATTTGGATGTTGTTTTTCAGCTGAGGAGCGGTATTTGAATGATTTAATCAAATTCAAGATAGTTTTAAGGTTTAAAAATAATAAATATAATTTGAATTTGCGAAACAAAAATTTCCACCATATTTAACTTTTTGTAAAGAACAATGTCGGTGGCCCATAATTATTTTATAAAATTAGACGCGTTCTAGTTTTAATCATTAAAGTGTCCTTAATATACATATTTTTAAATGAATGATACGTCAATTCTTGAGTTTATAATCTAATTTTAGTTAATTAGGGTAAGTACAATTATTATTTGCTTGCTCCTAGTTGTCTGTTGTTTTCCATTGTCAACTTATTCTGTAAAAGTTAAGCAGTTTTCACTATCAAAATTAGTAGCTACAAATAGCTTCTATAGTTAAATTTACAAAGCGATTTTAGTTTAACTGAGCTTCTAATATCTATTTTGTAAAACTTTCTCAGCGTGCACCAATTTTATAGGGATAAATTTATTTTTTTAAAACACATTTATAAAACAAAGGCATTTCAGAATTTCTAACCACCCATGTTTATTTCATTAACATTCAATCCATTACTATATATAACATATTGGCGATAACATATAGTATCAGTTATATACTATATGTTATAATAATAAGTAATGAAAAATCTAAAATGTAACATACATTCATAAGATGTACCTACTCTGGCACGCCTTGAATCTGAGATTAGATAATAATCTAACATTACATAAAGCTTATAATCTGTTTATTGCATTAGTAAGTCACAAAGATCATTCAAATGTAAGGTTATGACAAAATATACGTAACTTAAAAATATTCTTCAAATGGCTGTATTGTAGAATTAAACTAATGGTATTAATTGTACTAGTACTTGTTTCGACAATGTCGCTAATATTAGTGAGTACAATCGTACGATGTTTTTTGAAACATATTTTTATACGTTATATATATATTTTTTTACTAAACGGCTAAGGTAACACATCTAGAATAGGCAAAAACGACATTGTATGTACGTAGTAATTCTTTTGACGTGTTTTAACTCTATAAATGAGAACTAATTAGCTAACACATCATCTTTAATTTCAGAAAGATTAAATTGTTTAGCTATAAATATATATACTATAATATATAAGTTTGGCAGTAATTTTTAAAGGGTTCATATAAAAACTACTTTGAGGAAAATTGTCGACACATTACCCATTTTTCTTTAAATATTTTCTGAAAACAATATGACGATTTTCAGAATAAGAACAAATTCAAATTGAAAAATCATTTATTCACGTAGGTAACACAATGTACACTTGTGATTCGTCATTAAAGAAATACATATTAATGCTTCTAATTTTACATTTACTGCCAGTTCTCAAATCAAGCGTAGAACGGAAGAGAAGAACTGGCAATAAACTCTCCGCCACTCTTTTTAATCGCTGTTTTTTTTTTACACAACGTTCGTAAGGAGCTGCAACCATTACACCATGTTCCACATGACATCTTAAGTAATTAATAATAATAACATAAATTAAAAACAAAGACTTGTCCTCTATCAGCAGGAGGCATGGTGAAATAGGAGCACGCACTTACATTCCCGTGGGAACAACACGCAAACACGCAAACAACTGTAGCATATTTGATATGCCAATATTGCTACATCTATATCAAACGACTATTAAAAATCCGATAGTTATAGTGATTCCATAGTCATTATTATTAAACAAAATTCTTAGTATGCAGCTGACATATAATATTATTGTTAAAATACCATTCTGGAGAAATTTATAATTTAATTGACTGAAGTATAAAAATCTAGAAATTTTATTGTAAAACTGACATAGTATTTTCTCTATCTTTTAGTACCTTATGGTTGATTTTTTGTCTGGGTTGCTTTATGTACTGTAGTACAGTTAACACTGGTTAAATTATGTAGATTAAATTAATGCTGTCTATGGTTTTCGCAGATAGTAGAGATAAAACTTCCTTAACGCTTAGTCTTCTACCGCTTTCATAGTCAAAAATCATTTAATCACATAGGTAACAACAATGTACACTTATGAACGTCAATAAAGAAATACATATTATTGCTTCTAATTTTACATTTACTGCCAGTTCACGTAGAACGGAAGAGAAGAATTGGCAATAAACTCTCCGCCACTCTTTTTAATCGCCATGTTTTTTTTTACAAAACATTTGTATGGAGCTGCAACCATTACACCATGTTTCACAAGATATATTAAGTAATTAATAATAATAACATAAATTAAAAACGAAGACTTGTCCTCTTTCAGCAGGAGGCATGGTGAACATAGAATTTAAGTCGGTCTATTTGCACTCTTTAAACTTAAGTACTCTTAAGTTTCTATCAAACTGTGTTTTCGCTGTATTGAAAAGGCTCCCACAGCTGAGAAGAACGAAAAATCAAGTTTTTATAGCAACGTAATAAATTCGCATTAAGAAATTTTATTTAGGCCAAATTACATATGGCTATCTTAAAAATCGTTATAATCCTTAATTTCATCAAAAGAGTCCTTCCTCTAAGATTATAGTTATTATTTACATTTCGAGAATCTCCCACGAATTCAGGGTTCAATTGAAAGATACAATACAATTTTAGGTACACTACTAAATCGATGTTTACCAAGGAGGTATATTTAAATAGTCGATTTTGTTGAATGCATCCTTGAAACATATTGCCAAATTCGGTATCGCATTATCAGTATTTTATAGATAACGTGAACAACGGTGATATTGAATAAACAGTACGTATTTATCACTGTGAAATATAACAATATTTATATGTAACTGAATATAAATATTAGAAGTCTTTTCAAATGGGTTTATAGATTGCCTATACCAAATAATAATAAAATGTTTTTCCAACACTTACGTCGAAGTTACGAGTCTCCAATTAGACCGTTCATTAATGATGTTCAATGATAACAATAATTTTCTGTGTGTGGTTAATTAATACCGCTAATTCCATTAAATTATGACCTTGTATAGTTTTATTAATTGATTCCATAAAGCAATACAAAAATATACGAAATATCCGAAGGAATCTTTAGTTATTTCTTCATATCCTATTTTTACTGTAACAGCCCTGCGATTCTGTAACTCACTTTTCGAACTCACACAGCGGTTTTCGCATCGGCGGTCGCTCTCAAATCCAATATAAAATTTATTAATATAAAAATTAAACTAAAAACATAATAATATAAAGAAAACATAAAACCTTTTATAACTAACTATAAATACTGCAATTCTTGCAATTTAGTCAGATTGCAACTAAATATATCCGTCTCACATGAAATAATTTTCAGCGTGCGCAAGACACGCGTAAATGGCGCTTCTATGAGTAATTTGTACACCCAATTAATAAATATTGTTTGATTGCTTAGTCCCAAAAAAAGTTTCTAAAATATCAAAAACCTATGGCTACGGAAGTTCGTATAAAGTTTTCTGAATCTTACCCTAAGAAAATATTAATGTAATTCTTTGTAATTATGGCGTAGTGAATCCTTCTCTGGTTCTCTCTATATCCGTAGCGCTGATGTCGCAAATTTGGGAACGCACGCTACATAAACTAAATATTGAAATCACTAAAGTATGACGGCTCATTGGTCTATTGGTTAGTACCCCTGACTGCGAATCCATGGTACCCAGATTCGATCCCCGGCTGAGACGAATATCGATGTGATGAGCATTTGGTGTTGTGCTTAGGTCTTGGGTGTTTAAATATTTATTTATATGTTTATCTAACTATAATATGTATGTATATCCGTTGCCTAGTACCCATAACACAAGCTTCACCAGCTTAACATGGGACTAGGTCAATTGGTGTGAATTGTCCAATAATAATAATAAGAAATAAAAAAAAAGTGCAGAGGGAGATCACAGCATTAAATAAAATTAGTATTAAATATGTAGAGGTCTTAAAATTTATTGAGTTGCCGTTCGACTTCGCTAAAATTTTACAAATATACTCGTCACATTTTAAACGTTTTGGAGGCGATTAAAAAATTACTTTGTATTCATGGGTTCATAGGGTTCATAACATTTCCTCTCATCTGACACCTTAAACTTAAATCTCTACGGTCTAAAGTTTAGCAATAGGCTTTCTAATTGCATTCGATAATGTTTCTCTTCATCATATTTTCAGCAAGAGCCGTGTGGGCCTAGTAGCTTAAGTGTGCGGTTCTCAACCCTGAATTCGTAGGTTCAATCCCCGGTTGTATCATTTCTGTGTGCATGTATCACTCGGTCGCACGGTGAAGAAAACATTGTGAGGAAACCGGCATGCTTTAGACCCAACAATCCGACGGCGTGTGTCAGGCACAGAAGGCCGATCACCTACTTGCCTATCGGACAAACAAATGATTAAAATAAATGCCTTAGCGAAGTAAAACGTTTCTTTTTTTTCAAGTTAAAATAAGCATTCAATTTTGCAGAAAAATTTGTTGAAAAGAGGTTTTATTTACATAAAAAAATTTAGTAATCCGAATGACATAACCGTGACGTAGAAATATGTATAAAGTGTGTATGAATCACTAGGCCGATAGGGTATCGTGTAGATAAAAATTGGAATCTTATACAATAAACTATATTTAGATACAGGAAAAAATACATAACGGATGTTTTTATATTACTTAAAAAATTATCGTTATTTTGTTATATTACTTATAATGGGAGATTAATTTGACATTATCTTGGACTTCAAGTGCACAGGAGCTAATTAAAGATTTTATTAGCCGATATTTTGGAGCATCGGGCCTAAAAGATGTGAAAAGTATTCCGTTTGAGGCCGTATTTGAGCCTTAAACCTCATTGCATTCATTGCACCTCAGTGAAATACTGCTTAGCCCTACCCAAGACACCCAGCTTTTTTTCAAATAGGTTTTACGATATTTCAAAGGAAAGTTTGGTATTATGAACTATCTAACACGCACCTGGTTATGTATATATATATATTTACAGCACATCTACTCCAAATTTAAATATTGACTTGTTTATATAATTTAAAATTTAGTTATAACTTTCTTATAAAGCATTTGAATTGGCCCGAGGGGTTCTAGTGCACAGGTGCTAATGAAAGATTTTTATTGGCGTCTGGTAGATAGTACCGGTGACCCCAGAGCTGCTTTCCTCGCTCAACGAATGAGCAATACAGCGAGAAAACGCTGCCAGCATTAAAGGTACACTGCCACTGGGATCAAACTTTTTAAATTTGTTTTAATTTAATATTTAATTATTATTATGAATACTATGTAGGTCAACAATATTGTGAATACTCTATATTTGTGTATTATTAAATATATTTCCTATTTGACTGTATTTTTACATATTTGGGTAAATAGATATTAGATCTGAGATTGTCTAAGCACACCTGGGCAACGCTAAGATCTTTAAAAAATTCAGAAGATATGCGGTTTAAGATGTATCCAAGGGTTTTATTATTACCGCAACTCTGCATTCCGCTCTCGCATTATCGTTCTACCCGGACATATCCAGGTGTCTGTATTTGTACATATCATACATTATAATCAATTAAATTGGGCTCAATTAAAGTAATTTTACAATCTCTTGATAATATAAATACTCAAGATAAAATCTTAGATAACAAAGCATACGTACATTAAATTAAATTTAGTACAGATGTACTGAAATTACTTTAAATGCGTACTACCGATATTAAATGTTATAAGATAAACAGTATTTAATATTTATGGCCCCTAAGCCATACTATTTACTTTAGTTGCACTAAAGTAACATAGTTACAATTCTTCAAATTGTTTGGCAACTGCTTATCTAACATTGAATGGGACATTCCCTTTCTGTAAGAACTTGTATGGGTAGATGTTTTATTACAAATGTACAAAATGTCACTTCACTCACTCCATTACGCGACCCAAAATATGTCTTGGCCTCCAAAACGAGAAACTACCACCACTCCTACTTGGCGCCAGCTGGCTTATAGCTGCCGCAGGTCATCCTCCACTGCATTTATCCAGCGGAACCTGGTCTCACCGGCCTTCAGTGATTTGGCCGCCTTAAGCATGCTTCCTTCACTATCCGATCTGGGCCCATGCCAGCCCAAGCCAACGTAGTCAGTGAGCCTTCTATATCTTAGACTGGGCTACTAATTCCTTGTCTTTCTTTATTTGATGGTACTCTATTATTATTTTTATAAATTAAGTTTAGGCTCATAAGGGAATTCCGTAGAAAAACTAGGTGATGAATAAGTACATCACACTCTTCACATATTTGAGTTTAGCAATTTGGGAAAGCGGATCCATCTTCTTTGGCTGACTTCAAACCCATAGTATATACTGGGTGGCGCAAAAGTACTGGTACTAAAGAAAATTTGTTTATTTTTTTTATGACATTTCCTGTCATATTCACTGATGAATTATTCCGTAAGAACATTGACACGATTATTCCACGTTCTTGGGGAGTAAAACGGTCCATGTTTATTTTCATATATCATATTCATTAGTATAGCTACAATTCAAAGCGTATTTTTATACGATTAGTAAATTTTCGAGTCTGTAGTTAAAATTTAGAATTTATTTTGTAAATATTATTATTTAATAAAATAATTAATCGTGAATTCGAAGAAAATTATGTCTGGATTACAACTTCATGCTTATTAATTGAACCTCATAACCGAACCACTAGGAGTGTTATTGTAAGGTTTTTGCTTTACATATTTGCGAAGAAAATGGTCAATATGAACAACATTTTCCACACATACCAGATAAATATAAAAAACAATTTGAAAGTATTATCTGAACATTATATCATTCAAGACAAATATTTTTGTTTTGATAAACACACTTAATTTAGATTTAAGGATTATGAGCACTCAATGTACCGCCTTATCTGGTTGTTGCGAAATTGCATAATTCTAGATAAATACTTTAAGTACTTGCTTATGTTATTATGTTAATCTGCCTTGCGATTCTGTAACTCACTTTTCGAACTCACTCAGCGGTTTTCGCATCGGCGGTCGCTCTCAAATCAGTCGTGAAGCAGTAATTTTATGATTTGGCATTCTGATAAACAATAAACTACAAGCTCCCACCTTTTCAGAATGCCAAATAATAAAATGACTGCTTCACGACTGATTTGAGAGCGACCGCCGATGCGAAAACCGCTGTGTGAGTTCGAAAAGTGAGTTACAGAATCGCAGGGCTGTTGTTAACAACATGACGTCATCACTTGATAAATCTAAAACTGAATCTTTATGAACTGAAACAGGATGGCTATATGCTATATATACACTCCTATAAGAGAGGCGCTGGACAGAAATCGGTGGAAACAGATCGTCCGCTCCAGATGCTACCTTGCTGAACCAATTTAGACTTAGATAGAGGCACAGTTCATATGGGCGCTCTGAAGACAAACTTTCTGCGGACTGCGACCCATATTGCCGCTTGGTAGCTTGGATTTAAAGACGGCGGCCTAACTGAACAAGAAGCTACACGAAGAAGAGAGAGCGAGAGAGGCGGACGTTCTCCCAATGTATCTTAACTACGAGAGCAAGAGAGACGGAGAACGACGCCAGCGCTGCCAACTACGAACTAAACTGGGGGCAGACCGCACTTGGAATCGGAACACGAAATCCTTATAGTCTGCACTTCTATCATACGTTTTGATGATACGCTCAGACATGAGCTGCCGATTGAAGAGAGAGAGATAAAATATAAAATAATTATAAAATATCACGGTACTATCACCACGAATGAAACCTTTTAAAAAAATGTTTTATACCTAAACTTTTCTCATCAACAGCTATTAATTGCGTGAAGTAATTTGTGTATTAATCGCTAATAGATTGACGGTCTGTCTAGAATATAGAAGGATAGTGTCGGTGACTTTTTCGTAGGCTCTACGACTTCAGAGATTACCTCCTACACAATAGAAGATAAACATAATAACTACAGCCATCGGATACTTTTTTATTTTAATTTAGTAAAAATTTTGCGCACGAACTTATACTATTTGGGTGACATCCTTGGGTGACTAGATAGTTAGATACTCCTCCGTGGTAAATATTTAACGATACTAAACGATTAATGTTTTGGTTGATAATCTAGTCATATAGGTAATAATGCTTTTTTGACTGTATGTTAATAATTTATTTTTCTAGTTTTTTTTATTCTAGGTACATGGTCTATATAATAAATATAAATATCAAAATTATGGAGTTTCTTTCCCATTTTCTCCATATGAAACTACCATTTGGAGGGGCAACTAGTCATTTTATTTTAAACTATTTTTAACTAGCAATTTGGCGTTTGAAAAGTGCCTTTTTAATAGGCCACTTTAAATAAATGGTTTGACTTTTATACAAATAAAATTGGAAATACATTTTTTAATGATAAACATTATAAACCGTGACCGTGACCACGCACGCTTTAAAGCACGCGAAACGTCGGATTTTTATGTAAAATAATTATAAGTTTATTATTATAAACTTATAATTATTTTACATAAAAATTTTATTATTATAAACTTATAATTATTTTACATAACTTCAATTCGGTAAAAAAGTATTTTCTTTAAATAATATACTATTAAATTTGTCTATGTTTATATGGTAATAAATTAGTTCTAAAATTATTCATTATTGCGAAGATGTCCTTATAAACATCAAAACACACATTAAAACTGCATTAATTAATTTTTAACAATCAACTTTCGAATTGCCCCATCCATATATAGAACTGTGTATTTTTTTCCAGGTTACACAAAGAAATTCATCAAATGTGGCAAGACTGGGTATGTGATGCCCGCTGCATTTAAAAAGCACGCTGAATACATATACAACTTCAAGGTCCGGCCAGATGATATTTGGGTCGTTACTTATCCTAGATCAGGTCAGTTTTCTCTTCTATATACGTTATCACAAATTATCAAACCTAAACATCGAAGATAGTTATTACAGTACCGGCTCTTCTCAGTAAAACGCATTATTGAAGTGAAACTTCTTTATCGAGGTTGGAAAAAAATTTAGTGTAACATTTTTTCGTTACGCGTCACATTTTTCGGTTACGCGCCATGTTGCTTTTTGAAGTCAACTGTCAAACTTCTTTATCGGCGTTGGAATGAAACTTCTTTATCGACGTATGGGAGAAATTTTGTAGCAAATCGTCACGTTTTTCAATGATAGTAATAATTCTATTACAATTAATGAAATTCTATAATAATCTTCGTAGTAATAAGGTAAAATGAAATATTTGTATTCATGTCTATGATAATAAAAGCCTTTTGTTAAACTTTATCTAATTTAACGAATTTCTGTACAGTTGCATATAGTAGATCATTTTTCGAAAAATAAGATCATAAAGAAGTTTCACTTCTTACGTGTGTACACCTAGTACACGCACACTTTTTTTTTTTTTAAATTTGTTTTTAGCCATATACATTATAAAGACATTCTATAAACATGTTCTTTTCGTTTATTTATTTTAAAAACTGACATCACAATAAAGACAGATCTTCAGTAGGATTTATTCCGAATATAATAACTTTAAATTTGAAGCATTAAAAGCGATCTTCGATCATAATATTCCATTATAAAACTTCAACATACTGAAGACTGACGTATTCAATTATACGGTTGATGAAAATAAAATAACAAAATTTTAAATGAAGAAATGAATGAATTGGATGAAGGCTCGTCACCAATTTCTGAGGCAATTTTATTGTAAGAGCTGTTACCGCGATCTCAAGATTGCTACATCAGAGCATGTAGTTCCCATGTATGTCGTACATTGAGAGATAAATGGAACAAAATCAAAATTGCATACAAAAATTAGGGGATAGGCATTTTCGCTATGAGAAGTAACAAAGTACCAGCGCAAGAAAGTTTAATAATAATAGAAGCGTTCAATATATCTCCAGTGAGACGTAATAATAAATTTAAAATACAATCAATTTAGATAAGTACTACACACAACAACACATGACTGCTATAGGTGTAGTATTAACTAGAATTTGATTAATATATTGGACGTGAATGTGTAGACATGATATACACGCTGACGTTGCGTCACTCAGGCACATAATAACACTTCAGTTATATTGCTTTATCGAAGTGACTTGGTAAAATCCGTTGATTTAGATAAAGTTGATAGCGAGAGCTGAAACCAACGAAATTAATTCCGTGGCGACAATATCGACGTTGTTAACAGTTATCAGTACGGTTTTGTGAAAATTTATAAGTTTACTCAAACCAAAGTAATGTATACGTTATAGGAATTTTATAAAATACTAGCTGCCCCCGCGAACTTCGTTTCTCCTTAATGTGATTTTAAATAGCATACCTTTTTAGTACATACCAACATGGAACATTTTGCTATGCTACCCTGGAGACTGTTCGGTTTTCTGGAATGAAAACTTTTTAGGGTTTTCTGTGAATTTTTCTCTATATAAACCTCAGAGTTCAAGTCATAAGATTTCAATTAACAAATAAAATAGGGGTTGATCGTAGAGGGATTAAAATTAAGGGTTGTATGTATTTTTTTATACTGTATCATAAAAAAATAAAAACAAAAAATTGTATCTAAAAAATAAAAATTTAGGGGACAACCCTTAATATTTAGAGGTTTAAAAGATAGATAGTAGCAGATTCTCAGACATCTCATGTTTGACGGCATAGAAGGATGATAAAAATGTCCTAACCCCGTTGGTTGCGCTACAAGCGCTAGTTAGTATCAAAGACAATTATGGTCAAATAAAATATTAGATATTATATAATAATAGAATATATTTAATTATTCAAAGTATGTAACAATGCTATCGATGTACATTTACCATATTATAGGAAGTTCATTGATCCCTTTACTAAAAAGACCACTCGAACGGGAATCAATAAAATCTTTGACGGCGGATGGATTCGCTTCCACAATAGCCTTCAATTCTTCGTCTCCGGCCGTCCACGGGGCTTGTTCTGCACGCTGATATTTCCAGAAGGAAAAACATTGGCATCAAAAACTCACTATGTTTTCTTTTGAGACACCGCCGCCATATACATCATTAATCCTTCGAACTAAATGAAAGAATTCCACGAAGCGGAGACATTTGAGGTCAAAAATATATCTTAAGGCGTTTTATAATTTCAGGAACAACATGGACTCAAGAAATGGTGTGGTTATTGGAAAATGGATTGGACTTCGAAGCATCGAAAAAATCGCCCCTGTATGAACGGTTTCCTATGTTAGAGTAAGTATTGTTTATATATATATACATAATAACATATACGTATACATAATTTTTATTTGTAGTAATAAAGTTTTATGTTGGTTGTTAGATAATATTACTTAACGCTCTTATCATGTGTATAATTTCTCAGTTGCCATACAAAATACTTTGGCAGGGTAAAATGTGATACATTTTATACATATGATGACTAATCTAAATATATAAAACAAAGTCGTGTTAGTTACACCACTTATAACTCAAGATCGGCTGGACCGATGTTAGTTATTTTTTTTTGCTGGACTCCTCTCCCCTCCGAATAGCAGAATTAGTAATAAAATATCGGATAAGTTGTCGACTAACAATTAATAAGTAAATTAATTTTACGAATGCACGCCTATGCACTTGAAACCCACGGCCCAAGAGTCTCTACTCCAACGGGAACAAAATCGAAAAAAAACTTATATTTATTTCTTTACAGATTAACATCACAAATTCCGAAGGTGGCGTTCGAGCTGATTAAGATAAACTTCATGAATCTAGCAAATTTTCAAGGTTTGAACAAGGCGGTGAAGCGGCCGAGTTGGAAGGATATAGATGAGGCACCATCACCTAGATTAATCAAAACCCACCTCCCATTATCGTTACTCCCACCAGATCTATTGAAGGCAAGAGTCATCTATGTTGCCAGAGATCCGAGAGATGTTGTGGTATCAAATTATTACCTTCATAAAATGATTACAAAGAGTTTGATGAAAGGATCGTTTATACAATTTTGGGAGGCGTTTCGGCGGGATTTACGTAAGTTTTTTTTAAATCTATTTATTTTATTTATATTTATAAAGCCATTTTTAATACTGTTAACCCATACTGTTAAAAATTACGTACAAATCGGTGTTAGTTTTGTTAACTCTTAGTCTACGTTAGTTATTATTATTTCCGTTACTGTATGGAACCCTTTTTGGTCTACCCTCCTGAACTTTCCATTTGGTTCTGATGTTAGCTTCCACCATCCATTTCTCCCCAGAAACCTTAACTATGTCGTCTTAAAATACATATTATTATATCCTAAACATTGCAGTCCTCGCAAACTTCGTTTCACCTTAATATTAATTTTCCTTAGCCTACCTTTTAAGTACAACAGACTACATACCAACATATGGAACACTTTGCTATGCGTTTGGTTTTAAGGGGTTTCCATGCCATTTTCTATTTTTTCTCCTCCTTCCCCAGAGTTCAAGTAATATGTGTGTATTCAACAACAATGCGTCTATAATAGAATGGTAAATTATGAAGTTACAACAACGGGATTTTCAGTAAAAATTAGAGTAAAAAGAACTAAAATTATTTCGGTTTAGTATATTGGTTCGGTTGGTTGCCAAACATTCATTACATTCGCTGCCTTACGCAAGTTCTGACTGAAGTAATAATAATTAAATTATGAATTAAACCTTATTATTATAATAGTTTTTCTATAAATTAGCGTTCATTTTCAGTACCTGGAATGCCAATTATATCTCACACAAACGAAGCCTGGAAACAGAGACATCATCCGAATCTCCATTTTTTGTTTTATGAAGACATGCTACAGGTAATATTCTGTCACTTTATCTTCTTTGACGTCCTTCAAGAAAAAAGTGTACTGCTTTTTAAAAAGGGTGCGTGTACTTATGTACGCGCGTAAGAAGTTATACTTCTTTGGCTTTCTTTATTTTTTTTAAATATTAAATAATTAAAGATAAATATTTAACCTTAATAATTTAATAAAATTTAATGTTTAGTATATTATTCAATTATTAATTAATATTAATAATAATTATCATTATTATTTATTTTTTTATTATATTATTCATTCAATTTAATAACTAGGTATGTTTCATAACCTTTAAACTAAGTAACAATAGGTCTTTGTGAAAAAGCATTGCTAAATTTCTTTGAAAAAATAATTAAAACTCCTTTATTTGTTTAAAAGGTAATTATGGTCATTCAAAATTCTCTTTATTCTATTTCTTTTTACTTGTAGATTGTCTTATTCCCATCTCGCTCGCGCACGCTCGGCGCCCGGCTATAATCACACTGATAATTTTGTGTCACGGTGCGCGCGCATCGTAAAATTTCACTCTCATCAATTTTTCATAACGCGCCTAAAGAAGTATAACTTCAAAAAGCACTCCCTTTCTATAATAATTATGAACGAGCGACTCCTATTCAGTAAAAATACAAGTACCTATATGTTTTAATCTGAGATATTTGAGCTGAGGATATTGTCAATTCGAAACGTCGTACAAATGAATGAGAGTCTTCTAAGCAAAACTGTTTTACGTATAATACGTAATACGTATAAAGATGAACAAAAACATTCCACTTGCTTGATCCCTTGGCGTTGCGTAGAGATGTGGGATCTCTTTGCATCTTTTACCGCATTTACCATGGAGAGTGTTCAGAGGAGTTGTTCGACTGTTGACTAATACCTTCAGCTGAGTTTCATCATCGGACGTCAAGGCAGAATACAAAGTACCATCCGTATCACATTGACGTGCGTCGTACTGAGCGATTCTTAAGGCAATTTCTGCCGCGCATCACCACTATGTGGAACCAGCTGCAAACTGAAGTATTTCCGAACCAATTCGTGGGTCCTTCAAGAAAAGAGCCAATTTTTAAAAGGCCGACAGCGCTTTTGCGAGCCTTCTGGCAGTACGACAGTACGAGTGTCTATGGGCGACGGTATCACTTAACATCAGGTGCGCCTCCTGCCCGTCTTCCTCCTATAACATAAAAAAAAATTAGTATATCATTGTCTAATTTTACAATGTGCCTCAGTTTGAGTATGATGTTTCCACCATCCATCAGACATCACTTATATAACATATTAATATAATTTTATTCATTTCATTTTAGGATCTACCAATGAGCATACGTGGCGTCAGTGAATTTCTACAAAGGAGTGTAACCGAAGAACAAGTGAAGAAGCTTGCAGAACATTTAACGTTTAAAAATCTTAAGAAGAACAAAAATGTTAATAATTCAACTGACAGTGACATACAATTTATTAGAAAAGGTAGCAAATTATATTAACTTTCCCACATCTAAGGCAATGACCAAAACTCAGAAAATTTAGGCTTTGTTTAATTTAAAGTTATTGGGTCCGAAAATAATGTTTAATTGTTATTCGCCTGATGAAATTTGCATAGTAAAGTGCTTATATAATTGAGAGAAGATAAAGACAGTAAAAACTTGAATTATGCATACACTTACTGAATTCATGAAAAAAAGAAATCGGGGTGCGGTCGCTACTAAAAGTAAAATGTCATAATTATAATTATTTCAGGTGAATCCGGTGGGTGGAAAACACATTTCGATGCGAAAATGGAACTACAGGCTGAAGAATTTATGATTGAAAGACTAAAAGGTCAATCTTTGAAATACCCAACATATGTTGTAGACGACGAATGTTCCAGATTGTAAATAAGAAATGAATCATCTAGAATACATGTTTGAGACAAACGTAACTCCAGAGTTACGCATATGGAGTCCAGACTCCATATATCTTTACGGGTGTTTTCAATACGCTGTGTTGCCGAGTCGATTACCTATGTATATTAGTCTATATTTTAGTTTAGTTTTCACAAAAAGATGACAACAAACCTAGGTATTGTAGCGACATCTACGATCTGCACTTACAAATCACTGCGATGACGTCACACCCTGAAACGCGCTAACAAAGTTATTCCGTCCAGTAAGAATATCTAGAACTTTTCCGCCTTAGCCACGCGGGCCTTAGGGGCGTTCATTCGGTGGATAGATATTAGACAGGTCGAGGGTCCTCTCTTTAGATTGGAGGAACTGTTCACCAGCCTTCCTCCACAATATTGGAGGAATGTAATATGACACGTTGATTGAAGGAGTGTAATAGGCGGACGTATTGCTGAGCGAACTCTTCTGTGCCAATACAGAACACATGGATTCCTGCAAAAAGTTATGCAATAGATATACAAGTATGTCGAATCGTTGCCAGAATCAAGAACGTTACAACGCCTTAACCTCAAGAAATGCTTGCCAATCGGATAAAACAGGAAGCGAAGATAAATTAATTGTAGTATATGATACAGTATTTGAAATGTGAATATAAATTTATAACTAAGTATAAGCGTAACGATCATATCGTTATAAATAATAATATATAGTTGAATGGAACGATTTCTGAAAATGACAAACTTTGAGGGTAGTTTAAAGAAATAACGCGTGGGCCAAGATCTCTTCTCGTTAATTTGCTAAGCCTTGATTGACGTGGTGATAGATTATGTCGTTCTTTTCAGACAACAATTATTTGCGATAGGCGTGACTCCCTATCGTAATATAAAATTTTAAGGAACATGCGCACGCGTGATTATTTTCATTCAAATATAATATTTGTTAATTGTCTTGTTTAAAATATCAGGAGGCAACTGTAAACTCATAACAAGAGAAGAAAAAATGTTTGCACGAATAATCGTCTGATTATTCACGAATAAAATGATTATTATTTAACTAAACGGTTTTTTTGTATGATATAATATTAATTTGATAAATGTAATTTTACCGAGTTCAGAAGTTATGATTTAGTGAATTGTTTGGGGCAGAGTTAAAAAGGTACTAGATATTTTAGTACAATATAAAACAAGGGAGATAGAAAGTACTAAGATTAATAATTTCTTTTCTTATTAGATATATTTCAGTTGTATATATAAAATCTCCATTTATAACTCCTCCAAACTGAGAAAGGCCAGTAGTAAAACTCCGCGGATATTACAAACTTAGTGGAGGAACATTGGTATGTATGAAAATAAATTGACTCGATCAGAACATTTCCTGATAATCCAAGCATTCCCTGACATATAAAAAAAAAAAAAAAAAAAAAAAAAAAAAAAAAAAAAAAAAAAAAAAAAAAAAAAAAAAAAAAAAAAAAAAAAAAAAAGAAAAGAAAAAAAAAAAAAAAAAAAAAAAAAAAAAAAAAAAAAAAAAAAAAAAAAAAAAAAAAAAAAAAAAAAAAAAAAAAAAAAAAAAAAAAACAAAAAAAAAAAAAAACAAAAAAAAAAAAAAACCAAAACAAAAAAGAGGAAAAGGGGGGGGGGGGAGGGAAAAGGGAAAAAAAAAAAGGAAGGGGGGGGGGGGGGGGGGGGGGAAAGAAAAGAAAAAAAAAAAAAAAAAAAAAACAAACAACACCCAACCAACCACCAAAACACCAAACAAAAAAAAAAAAAAAAAAAAAAAAAAAAAAAAAACAAAAAAAAAAAAAAAAAAAAAAAAAAAAAAAAAACAAAAAACCACCAAAAAAACCACAAAAAAAGGAAAAAAAAAAAGGCCCACCCAGCCCCACCCCTAAGCCAAGGGGAAAAAAGGGAGGGGGAGGGAAAAAAAAGGGGAAACAAAACAAAAAACAAAAAAAAAAAAAAAAAAAGAAAAAAAAGAAAAAAGGGAAAAGGGGGAGGGGAGGAAAAAAAAAAAAAAAAAAAAAAAAGGGGAAAAAAAGGAGGGGAAGGGAAAAAAAAATTAACTAAAACCAAAAAAAAAAAAAGGCCCCGGGGGGGGAAAGAAGAGAAAAATGCCTACACAGAAAAAAGGCTTTCCTACGTCGATATATATATATCCCTGATACAATCGGACATAAACCACATTTTTACAGAGCAGCTAGTGAGCAGCTTTCTCACCGCACCAATACTTATTGTTTTATCGAGAATAAAACTCAAGATCTCCTGGTTCAACGCATATGTAACTATGAAGCCACAAAGGCGTGCGTAGTGTAATAAATAATCATATTTACGTTATTTATCGTTGGCAGTTCCTCATTCAGTCATGGCAGAGATTTTTGTTAGTGTAAGTATTCAAAAACTTCAACTATTATTAGCTGCACTTCGATTAACTGTGTTTATATTATATAATTACTAGCTGACCCGGCAAACGTTGTTTTGCCATGTATAATATTTCTAGGAAACATTTTTTTAGTTCAATAAAAATAACTATCTTCTATAATAAAAATAGGGGTTAATCGTAGAGGGGTGAAAATGAATGGTTGTATGAATGCTGTATTATAAAAAAAAACAAAAAAAGAAAAACAAAATATATAATAACAACACCTGTACAGCCATATACTCGTATATAAGAAGATATATAAAGGTATACACCATAACATGTATCTCAGAACTTTTCACTCAAGTAAATATAAAAAAAAGAAAAAGTACGCGATTCTAAGTACTTAAATAATATTCAGAGACAACCTTGAAATTTGAAAAATTGCGAAAAGATATGATATATATATTGTGTATCTGTAGTTTCTCAATGGCTTGTTTATAATGTACCACGGTCTTGCCCACAATTTTTGGGTTTGTTGGTTGGATTTAGGTTACGTGAACCACATATTATCCGCCGCATCGCATGTCGGGAAGCGAATAAGGCTCTGCTATTACCGCATCCCGCCTAAGTCGATTATTGGTGGTGCCTTGGGGTTTTAGTGGGTATCCACAATCGCGAGTCCCACATAATCCTCCCGCACGAAGCAGTCGCGCCCCGGTAGGGTATACGTAATGCATTTCCCCAAGTATGAAAAAACCACATATGTATTATCATTGGTAAGGAATTTATAAATGTGTTCGACGTCCTGATGGTAATGGGGTTTCACCATACTACTATACCCTCCTTTTACTTTTTTTTTAACTATGTATCGAATAATAATAAATATAAGTAGCCTGTAAATATTTAAAGAATATTATCGGATAAGTGGCGCGGTCCGTGGCCAAGGGATATTTCTTGGAAACATAAATAATAATAATAAATAAATAAATGATGATCTTGTTTCGTATTATTATAATAAGGGGAGTTGAATTTAAGATTCAGTTTTGTTATGTTGATTACTAAATGTAAAAATAATTAGCTTCGATGATGAAGTGTCCATGTTTTCAACAAACGATGTAGTAATCATTATCAAGTGGCTCACAAGCGTTTTCGACATAAATCTCAAGTAATAAATGGATATTTGTCTTCCAAAATCTTCAGGGAAACGCTTTATTAATACCACTACACGTCACTCCCCGGTGTTGGGTGAAAACTTTGTCAGATTCACGTACTCAAACTTGGGGCCCAGCGATGAAGGGTCCCCGCTTACTTCTAACTCATATATCCAGCGGCGCTGCAATTCCTATTTATGATATTAATATATCTGAATCTATTTAATTGATATGAAAGTCTAAGAACTGGTTTCCTCACGATCTTAAGGATGAGCAAAACATTTATCGGTGCACGTCGGGGTTCTAATGAATTCAGTTACAATTTACGATATAATTTAATGTGAGAAAATCATTCTGTATCTAGTAGACATTTGTCAAAGGCCGGCAACACACTTACGAGCCTTCTGGCAAAGTGAGTATCCAAGGGCGGCGGTATCACTTAACTATAATGACTAAAACTAAAAAGATGGAAAATGTCGGTTATGTGCCGATAAAGATGAAACAGTGCAATACATAACATCGGGTTGGAGAAACTACCTAGTACTTATTGTGTAAAGAGACAAAATAATTTAGTTTTATACGTTTATTGGTACTTAGGAAAGAAACATGAAACAGAAGTAAATCGTCTATGGTTGAAGGAAAGTCTCACCCAACCACAAGTAAAAGAACATGAAGCTGCAAAAATTTTATTTCAAATAACCGTACGTCACTATCACACACGTTTGGTGGCGGCGGACCGCCGGTAATGGAGAGGCAACAAAAGACGAAGAATCTTATATTATTGACATAAATACTGAAAAACCTGTCTTATGCGAGCAGAAAAATTAAACGTATTAAAGAATTAAAATACAATATAAATCACTAGTAGCTTGATTAAATTCTAGGGCTCCAAGATTCAGGGCTACCAAAATCTTACAATATTTTAGTCCGTCCTTTAACACGGATGCTATAAATCAAAACTTGTAATAATCTTGACTATAAATCTTCTATGTAGGATGGCTACATCTCAGTAATGTTTTAGTCAACGTATTGCTAAAATTTAGCTTATCTTGCAGAAGACTTGTTAAGCTAAATAAGTTAGATATTTGTTTGTAGACATTTTTCTCAGTTTCATAAATATTTTTGTAGACATTTATATAAAATTCAACTTTTAGCTAAAATATCTCCTATTTCAAAAGCATATTATGTAATTTTTTTCTGAAATAATAATGTAGTTTTTAAACTGATTGGTTATATTTTTTGCATAAGACAATTACTAACTTCGATGTATGTTTAGACTAACAAAGAATTTTCTCTAGGCGCAATGCAAAGTTTTCACATGTATCTATTGATCTTACAATGTCATGTATTTAGCGACTTAAGTTTTAAAATTCATTATTTAAATAAGTCTTGCGAGTGTTGTGTTATTAACGTCTTTTATTTACAGGTAAGTAAGTAGCTTTATAAGACTGACACAAATCCTCGATTTTTGGGTCTAAGACTAGCCGGTTTTCACAAAATCCTTCACTGCACGAGCACACATAGAAATAACTAGATGTGCGTTCTTTCTATGTTTGCTTAAACCTTAAAGCGAAGTTGCCTTAAATTAATTATTAATATTAAATCAATAATACTGATTAATATTTAATCTATGAAATTTCGTGCGCCTACATTAAATTAAACGGAGAACGAACATAGTATTTGCTCACCTTTCAAATTAGAAAGACAAAGGCCTAACCGCTCCATTGAACCAGGTAGATTGTAACAATGGTAACTTTTGTTTCGTATTAATAAATCCATCGGCTCGTTTATTATTTACATTAATCAAGCCGTTAATTGGGTACTCTTTTAGACTCTAAAAGATGAAAAGTTGCTTAAAGGTTGACTGACTGTTTTGCATGTTGAACAAATTTGTAGTCTATAAAAATAAGTCCGCTGTCCCATTGTTGGTATATTATTACTTAAAAATCTTGGCTTTTGAATCTGATGATTTAAATGAAAAAAAAACGATTTTGGAGTTAGAAAATGTAGTTTTACTTTTGAGATAATTTTTATCACAGACTATTACATATAGTTATTTGTCAGGGTTGCCAGCATAAACTAGAGATGTACCAGTAATATGAATTGGTAAACGAGGGTTCAATTTTTCTAATTTAAAAAGAATTGATATCAAAAAATGGTTCGTTATGGTCTGCAGAACAACGAAACCCATAAAATTAGAAATTCTCATAGTAAATGAAGTTTAGTTTGTTATTAGAAACTTACATTATTCCTTAGGCACAAACAATACTAATATTTTTTGTTCACCCGTTTTCACGCAAATCGATTCACGTGCTAGTTGACCTCAGTTAAGCGAAACTTAATGAACAATGTATTTAGGCACAAGAAAAGGTATCATCAAATATGATGAAAAGAAATTTTCATTAATTTAAAAAGTATTTAATTTTAAATGATGCATGGAAACAAACCCCGCTATCCATAATGGCTGGAAGCAACGTTTCATTGTTCAAATACAAAGAAGGCATAATTAAGATAAAACCAACACAATCGCACCCACCGCTAGATCGCTTTGCGCCTATTATTGTGGCTGAGCGTAATGAGATTAACACACATTAATTGTAATAAACTTTTATACGCATTTACGTAGCTTAAGCACGTAATTTCGTCTTCAAAGTAATTCAAATAAAGTACATTCATATCTGTCTTCCAAAACCTTGAAGTTTGATGAAAGTGGTTTGAATTGAATTCTATATAAATTCTATTTGTTAGTGATAATTCTTTGAGCTCTTTGTAAATGACTCCAAAAGTTATTTGATAAATTTTAATGCTAAGTAATATCTTATCATATATATTTTTTTAAAACCTTTGAAATAACCCCAATTCGACTTAGGGTCCTACAAGAAAAGAGCGTACCTAATCTTAAAAGGCCGGCAACGTACTCGCGAGCCCTCTGGCATTGAGTGTCCATGGGCGGCGGTAACACTTAACATCAGGTGAGCCTCCTGCCCGTTTGCCCCCTGTTCTATAAAAAAAACAGTATTATTAATATCAATTGTTGTTATAATACATATTTTTTTCTTAAATACACTAAATTATATAAATCAGAGTTATGCAACCTAAAGTAAGTTAAGTTACATATATTAGTATTATTATTAGCGCAAACGAAATGATAACAATCATCTTACAATTTTAGCCAATAAATTGTAAAACGTCAGTATTGGTAGTAAAAAATGAGGCCTTTAGTTTTTCATAGATTCATCAACTGTAATAGTATAACATTTTCGATACCAAGAATGAACAAGTCGTCATAACTTATATTCTTTGTAGGTAGCCGATGTCTAACATAGTTTTAAGAACCAACAAGTCAAGTTACAGTTTTTGTTACTCCAGCATCGCAACCCCTTATTTTATGTTATACGCCCTTGTTTCAAACTAATAGTTGACACTTAGCTTCAATCAAAGTGTTTCATTTATTTGAACATCCTCCAACACCCGCCACCTAACTCAACACAAGCCACGCCTTTATTTTAACGAAAATGATGACCTTCAAAGCTATGTTACGTAATATACGAATATGATAAGTCCGAGATAGCCGGTTATCGGAAAGTTCAAATTATTGTCTGTAACCCTATGTTACAAAATTAAAGAAAAAATTATGCTACATCCATACTTAAATTACATGTCACCATGAATATTGCATATTTCTATAAAGATCAACTCCGGAGGTCAAAGTCAAAGAAAGATGAAGGATTTTTTTTTATATTATAAATTTATGTTGATATTGTATTTTGTACGTACAGTGTATATTTAGGATACATTGAGTTCCAATAAAATTGTGAGATGGAGTTTAATGTATTGGAGACCGGTAGCATATGTCGGTCGTCAAGACAAGTCAAGCTAAGTGTTACTGATGCAGGAAAGCTGGTACTAACGCTAAGATTCAGAGTCAAGACCTATAACGAACTTTGACTCTCGAATTCTACTTTGTTACATATGGCCAATAGTCCTGTACGGCAGTGAAGCTTGGCCATTAAAAGAAGATGCTCGCCGGCGTTTAGAAGCATTTGAGATGTGGTGATTTATTTTATTTATTTGCTCAACAGTAATCCTACAGCTACTCACTAAACAATAACATTATACACAAATAGTATAAGATCCCGATATACAACGACCTTCACCGAGATGCTTATTTAATGAAACGTATTTTATATTTAATTTAATATGTCAATAAATATAATCTATATGGGTTGCCTAGCAAATTTCAGTCCAGAGTATGATTAATTAATATTTAAAAAAAAAATATTTTTTTATAATTTGCATGTAGTAAATTTTTTAATTTTTTTCAATCAATATTTTTAATCAGGGTAGTATTATATATGTATCACTATAACTTTCTTTTTTACTAAAGATGTATATATACTTTAGTGTCACATAAAAAATATACACATAAATAATTAATTGATTAAAAACAACCTATCGTTTGCATATTCTATGAGCTTCATACTTTCGATTGGTATAGAATTTATATAATAATCATACCGGAGAAATGTTTAAAAAACTACATTTTTTTAAATATTAATTAAAATACTCTTGGCAGAAATTTGCTAGGAAACCCATATGGATTATATTTATTGACATATTAAAAAAAATATAAAATACGTTTCATTAAATAAGCATCTCGGTGAAGGTATTTGTATATCGGGATCTTAGACCAAAAATCCAAAAAAGGAATACACATTCAAACATAAACCACAGTTTTATATATTAATTATTTTTTTAATTATAATAAATTCTAAGTTCTAAGATTCATTGATCATTATAATATATATTAAATATAAAGGAAGAATAATGCCAGTATTAATAAAAGATACCAGAGTTTATTAAATTATTTTTTAAACATTTAAAAAAAATAACTATCGTTGTGTTATCGTCACATGCTTCGTATTGGCTGGATTCAGAAGGTCTCTAAGTAGAATGTCCAAAAAACTTATTCAGAATATTAAACCACGGAAAATTGCATACCTAAGCCACGTATTGTGCTATGTGTGCTAACACTTCTTTCAATTCATTAAATTGGGTAAAACGGTGTTGGTAGAAGGAAAAAATCATGATATCGTAACGTAAACGTAAGGATGTGGACGGGTATTGCGACTGCGGAGTGCGGACCAAAACACGCATCACGAGACTTACAGCCACGGGCCAACCTTTAGTAATGGGAAAGAAAAAGAAAAAGAAGAATAATATCAATACATCGTAACATTTTTGTGTTGTTATAGCAAATACTCTGAAAATCGCAGTATTGTCGAATAAGAATTAATGTAAGATAATTTCGATTATATAATGTAATTAACATTTCATTTCCCTTTAAAAGCTGAAGCCATTAAAATAATCCTCATGTTTATTCTATTAAAACAAATAATAATTAAAATACGTCAGAATCTACAGTTAAAAACAAGAACCAGTCATACTGCGCACGCGCAATCAAGCAGTCGTGTTATTTATACATTCGAAATGGCGGCGCGTGTCTCTCGGCATTTTTTGATAACCAGCCGGTCGTACAGCTCCGTAAATGACAAGAATGTGGCCTTTCTGGGACTCGGGAACATGGGGGGGGTTTATGGCTGCTAACTTAGTCAAAAAGGTGAGAATTTTCTCGTATGTAAACACATTCAGTGAAAGTGTTTTCTTAAGTAGATAATGTTGACATCGATCTAAATTTTATATAGAGTTGTGTTCGTAAATCAAAACAGTTAATAGATAAAATTATTATCGATCATATAATGTTTAAAAACAATTGAATAAAGATTTCGATAAATTAATATTGTGTTACAATATAAAATCTAAGATGGAATGTACGTATGGATAGCATTGATGCATATGATTAAAGGAATTAATACATTTTAAATTACGTGTTTGAATGTCAATTCGGTCTGGTATGAGGCACAATTGGGGTTTGATGACGTGCCTTGATACAATTTGAATGTGTTATTTTGTTTATAAAATAGAATTATTTTTTGTTTCGTTTGCTGAATTTAATATAACATTTTAATCTAACTCGGTAAATTTTTAGTATTTGTAACGTGAAAGAGATTCTTGTTTTTGGTACCTCAGGCGTTTACAACCGTGAACAACACTTACGTATATAGATAACAATCAAATGATTGTTGCCAAGTCAGAATAATGACAATTATAAAATAAAATAAACATTGTTATCTCTGAACAGAACTGATAATGTTATGTAAATTTTTATTATGATGTAATTACAAAATATGTCAGGATTAAATTCTGTCTTCACACGATAAGAACTTATTTGATGTGACAACTCTTAGTAACCTTATTAATGAATATATAATAGGATCAGATAAACTTCAAGGATTAATCTAGTGTATTAAACACATGGAGTAACCAAAGTTTAAGTTAACGTATCGTCAACCACACCACCACAAAATGTCAACTATCAATAGAACGTAGGTCCTACGCGAACCGGTCTTGTCTTCGCGTTTGCCTCAATATTGATTTATAGATAAAAACAGTGTATGAAATGTAAAATGTAAAAATAATGATTTAAGATTTATAGAATACTAGCAGACTCGGCCAAGCGTTGGCCAAGGTTTTTGTAATTACATAGTAGTAAACTATTCAAGGGAAACAGTAGGAGAACACCAGTCATGGGGACCACCATGCTTTTTTGGTGGTTATGCCATTAAAGATAGCAGCTTGTAGCTAATGTAAAACGTTGGTACTTTCAACATAGAGCCATCTGTTACAATTGTGACTGTCAAATAATAATCAAATAATTGGCCATAAAATAATATTGGGGGTATAAATTAAGATGAAAGCTATCCTATCTTTTAAGTTAGATCAAAATGCACTCAGCTGCGTTTGGAGAAGGGAAATATAAAGTGTAAGTTTAGACAGTTTTTATGCATTATGCTAATCATCGGACCTTACTTTATTCATTGATATATTGGTTTATTATTCAGCTACAGTGGCTGGTACCTCACCTTACTCACTTGGAAATCTTTGTTAAAGCTGTTTTCATAGTACATTTAATTAGTATATTCCGGGTGTACGGAAGGTATAATTCAAAGTATATTTATAAAACGATATTCCTACAATGGAATAGAAGTGATTAGAGCAAGCGCTGAGACAAGAATTAAGACTTTTTTTAAGACGGATGTATGTATGGTATGATTGTTAGTATGGATATTGAGTGTACAGGCTCGATACAAAAACTAAGAAGCAAAAAAAACCTTTGTAAATTGCCCGCTCTTTGCTGACCACGTCTGCTATAGAGTATTGTCGTGTAGCTTGTTTAGATGTGTACTGGTGTAACTAGGGACAATGTTGTCACCAAAAAGGTATTTTTGTATTGTTTAGGAACTCCTATTTTAATCTCTATGTATTCTTAGAGACTGGATATAAAATAATAATTGTCAAATATTAATAATCCCTTTATTTAATTTATTTCTTTGATTTATGCTTATCTCTTACCATCTTTTTATACGAGTATCACAGAATTTTATTCAACCTCCATTAAATGATTTAAATAGAACAAAACCATAACCAATTTAACGTTCCTTTTAAGGTAATTTACAATTAAAATCTTTTTAAATTTATGCAAAGATTATGTTAAACAATGCAGATAGTGCTTTTGCGTTACAGTAAGGTGAAGGTATTAGCAAAATTGGTTATAAAAACTGTTTAATGAAACAGTGAATGATGAAAACTTAAAGGCGATGAAAATTAAAAGAGGTATGGATAAAATATGTTGGTTGTAATTACCAGAATACTAATTGTAATTTAGAACAACCTAAAATCAATCTGTTACAAGATTAAATGAGTTAACATACATATTGTAGGCCAGTGTTACGCAATTTTTTTGCGATCAAGTTACTAGGAAAACTAAAATGTTTGAAGGTATACTAGAAATTAAAAATCAGTTTTAAGTAATAATAATTAAGATTTATTATTAATCAACAAACCTCAACTTTAAATGGCAGAAAAGGTATTGTGATGCGAAACATGAGCCTGTTTAATTGATATATGGTCTAAATTTGGAGTAACTGTTTACAGGGCTGCTCTCATCTCTTTGTCGAATGTCCTAAGATCCTTCAGATATGCAAGCGTTTAAATAGTTTTTAAATAACCCTATTTTTCCGCTACGCCAACTAATGATCACGATACACCAGTATGCCGCACCTTTGCAGAACACTTTTGTAGGCGACTCCTATCAGAAAACTCTTATTGTTTCCAGGGCTTCAACGTCCGTGGTTACGATCCATCGAAGGAAACGTTGACCGCTGCCGCTAAAAATGGTGTGACAAGCGCTAATTCTATCGCTGCAGCCGTCGATGGAGTTGATGTAGTTGTATCAATTTTACCCAGCAACAAAGTTGTTCTGGAAGCATATCTAGGAAAGGACGGTGTAATTGATCACGTAAGTAAATTTGCCTAAAACGCAAGTGGTAGAGATTTACCTGCAAGTCAAAACATTTGAACTGTATTTGTGTCATCACGGTCACTGCTTAGTATTATAGGAAAGAATAAAGAGAAAGAAAGATTCCTCCATTTCTAAGAGGTCGAAAAGTCAACGCTTCATAAGAATTTTGAGAACGTTAGAACCTTGAAGAGGGTTCATTTATAATAGAAATATATATATATCGACGTAGGAAAGCATATTTGCTGTAAGTAGACAAAATACCTAAAGTGACTTTTTACTGCCATTAGAATCAGAAAAAAAAACCGCATCGAATGTCCCGGGTCCTGTGCCTCTACGATGAAAAAAAAATTACATACGCGGTTGAAAACGCCCGTACTTATATTTTTTTAAGTAAGATTAAATGCTGTATGTAGACCAAAATCCAGTCATTTTAGACAATTTGTACTTACAGCAAAAGAAAAACTGCATTTTTTTCTTTACAAATACTTACTTCTTCCCATTTAAAAACTTAACGCTACTTACAGCATTTCTGCGGCGTGTGATTTTTACATTCGTTTACTTACAGCAAGTTTAGGGAACCTACAGTTTTAGTTTTTTTTACCATTTACGACATTTTATTTCAACCAAACATTACATTACCAAATGACCCACTGCATTTCTAGATCTAATCATAATTATTAACTAATCTTACATCTTGAATTGCAATTGAAAGTACCCAAATACATAAATTTACTGCATAGCATAATTTACAGCATATTTACCGCCTGTAAATTGATAATATTTCCGCGCGTACATTTTTCTTCCTTAGTTACAGCGTTTTAAAGGTTTGTGATTTAAAAAACTGTATGCTGTAACTAGCCAAACACGTACTTATAGTAACTTTGTATAAAAAGTTTATATTGCAAATGGTGACTGGCAGTTAAATAAATATATGTTTCAAAAATGGTAGCAATATCATGGATAGGTTCTACACTATTAATTTTTTTCCGAAATTAATTAAGTTTTTTGGCTCTGGTGAACAATTGCAATATATCTACTTACAGCAAATATGCTTTCCTACGTCGATATATATATGTATATATATATTATATATTCATATATAATAGCTGACCCGGCAAACGTTGTTTTGCCATATATATTATTTCTTCTATAATAAAAAATAGGCGTTGATCGTAGAGGGTAGATGAAAATTAAGAGTTGTATGTATTTTTGTATGTTGTATCATAAAAAAATTAAATTTTGTCTAAAAAATTTAAAAAAACTCTTTGGGGTGGACTCCCCTTATCACTTAGGGGGTTGAAAGATAGCTAGTATCCGAATCTTAGACTTACTGAATATGCATAAAAAATTTCATAATAATCGGTCGAGCCGTTTCGGAGGAGTATGGGAACGAACACTGTGACACGAGAATTTTATATATATAGTATTGACTACTTTTAATACTGATACGAATAGGCAACCGTTTAGTTACGACACTTTATTTGCATCAATATTTAAGTATATTTAGAGTGAAGAGATGAAGAAAGTGTTATGTACTGTTTCAGGCACCCAAGGGTTCTCTTTTAATAGACTCCAGCACAGTAGACCCCAATGTCCCGAAGCAGATTCATCCCGTTTCTTTAGAAAAAGGGAAGGGATTTATTGATGCCCCAGTTTCTGGAGGTAAGGAAATCTTAGAGAGTGGGGACACATTATATTGTAGGCTAACGATAGCTTCCGGTAACGTGGTCCAATTAAAATCTCTTTCAACGATCAAAGGACAGCTATTGTATAGTAATAATGATCACGTAATCTAAAATGTTCAAACACCAGTTTTACATAATATTAAAAATCTTTTTTGTTACGTAAAAATCAACAACAGTCTGTTATTTAGTGAGATGATGTTTACTCTATTTTAACGATAATTTCAATGTCTTGATAAGGCATTCTGTTATCGTAGTCGCTTTGGTCTCATTTCATAAAATGAATATATTACGGTAAAATAAACTTCATAACTTCAGCCGCTATTTTCGGTTTAGACGAGAAAAACTACACGATGTATATTAGGTATATCGTAGTAGTATTGAAATTAATTTATCACTACTTTAATCTACTTAATTTATACCATTTGTTCCCTTGTATTTGTATTTTTAACCGATGACTAAGAAATTTAATTCAAACTTGCATATAGTCTCTATCGATTACAATGAATAATCCGAAAAATATAAAAAAAATTACAAACGAGAAATAAGTTTTAAGCACATCAAACTAAAAGTAAAAACCAAAGGTTTAGGCTGATGCAAAAATACTGTGCCTATATCTCTGCAGGATTATAAGATAATAGAATAAGAAAATAGCTTGCCTCACCATACTAATCTAATGAGATACATTGTCGAATATGATCTTTATTTTATTAGTGTCAAACAATAATTAAACATTTCCCATATCCATAAACAACTTAATGTATATAAAACTATGATATAAAAACAAGAATGCATAGAATTTTACTAAAATACTAAGAACTTAAGATTATATAATTAATTAACCGCATACAAGGTGTGTGAATATAGTCTTACATGTTGTGTTCTAGATAGTTTCAAATACAGCCTGAATACCCCTTTAAAACCTTTATTTTCGGATTATACGTTTGGTTTGTACGTGAATCTTTGTTTCAGGCGTTATGGGCGCTCAAAACGCAACTCTGGCGTTTATGGCTGGTGGCAGAAAGCAGGACTTTGATAGATCTCTGCCTCTGTTGGAGTCTATGGGAGCCAAGCAGTTTCACTGCGGAGAGATCGGGTCGGGACAGGTGGCCAAACTAGCGAATAACATGCTCATGGGTATTACTGGAATGGCCACAGCGGAGTGCATGAATATGGGAATTAAGTAAGTATTATTCTAATTATTGCCCGTGAGGTTTTCAGAGGAAAGTAAGCTTAGGTGTCTAACCTACAATTAGAAATCCATTATCCGAAAGTCATGGTAGGCACGGATCACAACTAATAATAAATTAGATATGACCATTATAAGCCTCGAATATGCTGTAATAAAAAATATCAACGTCAAGAAGGTATACACATCTTATATATATGATCATACCAATATAAAAATAGGCGATTGGCCAATGATTTTGTGCTATCTATTTGCTCAGAACATTTTACAAGGCGCATTTTATTAAGTTGCTTTTTGTGATTTTCACTCGTATAAAAGTAAGTTTATGAGAAATATCTAAGTATAATTTTCTATTAATACTCATATTAGTTAACTTAGCTTAAGTGGTATCATTTGATATAACGAGGATTATACTCGAATAATATTATTATAATAAGCTCAATCAGCGGATTATAGTCTTAAGTAATATAACGGAATTCCCGAATACCATTTTATTAATTATACTATGCGGTTAGTGTTTCTAATAAACAATTTAATTAATGAATTGTATATCAAATTCCCAGTTCATTTTAAAGTCCTTCTTTATCCTTGTCCACTGCATTAACGAATAAAATAATGCGTTGAGCAAAATGTTTTGGGATTTAACTAAATTAAGTCGACGAAACAAATTCGTTTCATTCGTCACGTCAAAACAAATGATGGTTGGGGAAGTTAGTAATTTGCAAGTGTCCAAGTGACTGCCTCATTATTGTTAATTTGCTCAGCTTTACAGCAAAATGTAGGATCGTCACGTACTGGGGTTAGGTGTTTGTATCGTTGCGTGTCAAATGCAGCGATTTTTAGGCGCGTCTATAGTTTTTAAAATGTGCCCTATCGTGGTATTTTAGACTGGAAAACAAAAGATAAAGCGATGGTTCACTTCGCTTGATTGTTATTTTTTGTTAACCAGGGAACGTGTCGCGTGACGTTGACTAGAAAAGCGGTTGACAAATCACAATCAAGCTAATAATAATAATAATAATAATAATCTTTATTTTCTTCTCTCACATATACATACAAGGTTTTTATGATTAAACTAAGCTGAACGAGCCAGCGTTTTATCTTTCATGTTACTAGCTTTCTTTGTTTTCATGTTATGTTTCAGGCAAATAAAAACCGATACTAAAATTATATACTATCATATATCTTATTTCATTATCTTATTCATGAACGCTGCCCTAAACAAGTAGTATATAACATCGTCACATCTAACTCTGTGCGACATATATGTACATCAGTTCACTAGTAACCATGCCACTATAACACTTCTAGTATACTTAAAATATACATAAGCTATATTATTTTAGTTTCATTTTTTTTATTAAGAATTGAAATTTTTACTTCCATACTCAATCAAATATGGAAAAGAAAGATCTATACGAACAGCAAAGCGCGATTTAAAAAAAATCCCATTAGAAAATCTACTCAAATAACTCGGAATTACAATTAGCATTATTTTTTAAAGGCTATTTTTTACGTATTTGTGTTCGTACCCACTAGAGAGATGCCCCGCCCTATAAGTGAAAGAATGATACCAATAGTCAGATTAGTATAAAACAGGTTACATTAAACGTCACGTTTGTATAAGACCTTAAAAATGTTTTGTGTAGAAGCTATTATCTAAATGTAAATTTGACAGAATTTCAGACAAATACAATTTCCTCTCAGATTGAAGTAATTTAGAGTTTGACATCGGCTTATACATCAAGGTAATAAATTATTAAAATAATATTTCAAGATAAAAAGTAATAAGACCTTACCAACCGAACGGGGCTACTAACACTATTCTATAAGCGTGACACAATTTGTTACATTACGGCAATCGAGTTTACATGGAAATGGTAATTTGACGAATGGTCAATTTTATATTACCGTTGCATAATGCGAAGTATAGTAACTTAGTATCTTTTAAGTAAAGTATTATTGCTTTATTAAAATATACTACTGTTTAAAAGCAGCTATTTAGAGTTCATACATAGAGACGTGCTGTAAATTTCAGGTTTAATCAACGAATTTATAAAATACTAGCCGCCCCCGCGAACTTTGTTTCTCCTTAATGTGATTTTACTTAGCCTAACTTTTTAGTATACACCCACTTTTCCGGAATGAAAACTTTTTAGGTTTTTCTCTATATAAACCTCAGAGTTCAAGTTATAACTTCTTAACTAACAAATAAAAATAGATCGTAGAGGGTAGATGCAAATAAAGGGTTGTATGTATTTTCGTATGCGTATAAACAAAAAAAAATTGTCTAAAAATAAAATAAACCTTTTTTGGGGTGAACCCCTTATCACTTAGGGGTTTAAAAGATAGATAGTAGGCGGTTCGGAGGAGTATGGGAACGAACATTATGACGCGAGAATTTTATATATAGATATAAGTACTAAAAGTAAGTAAGTACTTCTTTATTTCAAATAAAATTAATCCATCTAACATGAACTTTGAAGTATATTCAAATAATTTCGTCTGATCATGTGTTGAAATTTGTTCTCTATGCCTATGCACTGAAGAAATACTTTTCAGTGAAGGACTATTTTATATCAAGTTCACAGAGTAGGCTTAAGTGGTATCTTCGAATGGCCAATCATATTTGTATGTAAATCAAAGGGTTGAGGGTTTTTTATTGAAAGCGTCAATGTCGTCATTTCACTTGAGATTTGGGTTATTCTGAGATTTAAGATGGTTTTTGCTATGAAAAGGATTGTGTATTGATTGATATATTCTTATTTTGTACGGCTTGAACCAATAGGTGAGAAGTCTTTGTTCTTCTACTGTACAATTTGGGATTTACCATCTCTTGCTCACGATATTTGCTTTTACCGTACGAGCAAGTGTTAGACATCAAGACACATCGACATATCCTTTCATACTGTTCATCGTCGTTCCACAACCAAGCGATTCTTAAGGCAATTTCTGACACGCACCACCACTATGTGAAACCAGCTGCCTACCTGGTACGTTACCTACGCTGTATTTCCGAATCAATTCGACTTAGGGTCCTTCACGAAAAGAGCGTACCAATTCTTAAAAGGCCGGCAGCGCGCTTGCGAGCCTTCTAGCAGTGCGAGTGTCCATGGGCGGCGGTATCACTTAACATGTGAGCCTCCTGCCCATCTGCCTCCTGTAACATAAAAAAATACACTTTATGCACGTTTGTAACGTCGTTAGATATTGTAATTTTCACTTTAGTATTAGTCATTTTACATGTACATCGGCCATTACATAGTTCCATTTTTATTTTATAGAATGGGTCTAGATCCCCAAGTACTGTTGGATGTACTAAACAATTCATCAGCTCGGTCCTGGTCTACTGAAGTCTACTGCCCGGTACCTGGTTTAGTGCCAACTGCACCATCTAGTAGAAATTATGATAATGGCTTCAAGAATGAGTTGATGGTCAAGGTACGTGTTATAATTATTGATAAAAAGGTGCAAAATCTTAAATATGCCTTACATATAAATCAGTTTAAATAAAGTTAAATATTTTAAAATAAATAAAGTAAGTTTATTTGTTATATTCATTTGCTTTAACGGTGAGCTTTTTTAAGAAATGTTTAAGATTACAAAAAAACATCGAAATATAATACATATTTAATTTCTATTGCATTTCGAAACTCTGATAATACAAATCCTAATAAAATATTTAAAAGATTTTTGTAAAATATATATCAATTGTTAATAATTTGATAAACATCAGAGTAAACGTAAACATGTTTTTATTAGCTAAAAAACGTTTAATATTTTTTTTTCAGGACTTGGAATTGGCTAGTCAAATGGCGCTAGGCATTCGGTCACCCATCCCACTTGGAGCTGTTGCGACGCAGCTTTACCGAGTGGTACAGAGTCGTGGTTATGGCGAAAAAGACTTTTCCTTCATATACCAGTTATTAAAAAACGAGATTGCTAAAAAGTAGATTAAATTATATATATTTTTTGTATGGTATATGTTTTTTACCCTTATTATTATTCTGTTAGAAATTTATCTATATATAACGTAAATAAAAATGTGCTTTTTTATTAAAAGTAATGAAAAAGTAAAAGAAAATAGAATAGTGCTTAAACAGTCTCATATTTATTTTACCGTTAAATATGTTCTAAATGAAAACTCTGAAACTACGAGAACATTGAAAATGCCAAGACATAAAAAATAAAAAGAAACCTCTTACAAACGTCAACATTATTTCAAATAAAAAGGCAGCGGCCACGGGATTGCGACATTTTTAATTTCCCGCGAAGGCTTAGAATGCGAATGGCCGCCATATTTGATTTTTTGTGTAAAAAATCGAAAGGACAATGGAGCGCCCTCCGTCGTAATCATATTTTTCTCACACAAAAGATTCTTATAATGTGGCCGAGTAATAAATGGGAGTCAAATGGTTGGTCATTCGGACCCTTTGCTGAGTTGCCCAAAACTGTAATGTGGGGATTTTCTTTCACTCGCTAGTTAACGTTGATTGATTGCTTTGGTTTTTCCGTAACCGATGTTTAATTGCCGTTATAAATTAAAAGATTTCTTATTTTAAAGAATGTACGAACGATGTAATTATGATTGGCAGTAATTAACAAAAACCTCATTCCTATTAAAAATTACACTTTTTGGACATGTATTATAGAAACTTTTGAAGGTGAATGTATGCTCCTATTTCACCATGCCTCCTGCTGATAGAGGACAAATCTTTGTTTTTAATTTATTTTATTATTATTAAATTATTATTTATTACTTAAGACGTCATGTGGAACATGGTGTAATGATTGCTGATCCTTACAAACGTTGTGTAAAATAAAAAACTTGGCGATTAAAAAAAGTGGCGGAGAGTTTATTGCCAGTTCTTCTCTTCCGTTCTACGCCCTTGATTTGAGAACTGGCAGTAAATGTAAAATTAGAAGCATTTAATGTGTATTTCTTTTTTGACGTTCATAAGTGTACATTGTGTTACCTACATGAATATTTGATTTTTGACTCTTGACTTTTGAGAATGACAAAAGAATTTTGTTTTCAAGTGCAAATAACATTTGTTAGCACGGTAAAGGACACGTAATGAAACTGACTTTTGTTAAAACCAAATTCACAACGTCGGTCACACAATGGGATCAGAATCAGAATTTAAGACGGGTCGTTACCTAAATTATTAAGCTATTAATATTAATTCATGTAACCGTAACCCACGATGTCACCCACTTGGCCCTGAGGCATATTTTCTACGTTACTTTTACCTAACAATTGAAGCATTCAATTAGCCTGTACTTTTAATACTGATATCAAGATAAAATTACTTAATAAGAAAGAAGGCTTTATGTTAGAAAAAATAAGATCATGATTACTGAGTAATGAATAGAATTTATTTCCTCGGATTAGAACTAGGACGTTCGAGATCGCCGCAGTAATAAAATAATAAATCAGTGGAGCTACAACCTCGTTAGGTCTCAGATTTTAGAATCTGTTTCATGATCATTTTTAAATTTAGTAGGCAAGTAGGTGATCAGCCTCCTGTGCCTGACACACGCCGTCGAGTTTTTGGGTCTAAGACATGTCGGTTTCCTCACGATGTTTTTCTTCACCGTTTGAGCACATAGAAAGAAAGTACATTGGTGCACAGCCGGGGATCGAGCCTACGACCTCAGGTATGAGAGTCGCACGCTGAAGACACTAGGCCAACACTGCTCTATCGACGCAGTAATATTAGTTTTAAAATGTTAAAACTAGTTCGTTATCACAGATGCATTATTCTTTAACTAATTGACGTTTTGTTTAATTAGGGTGTAATATGTGATATGTGTATTAAGTTGGCAGTGTTAGCCATTTAAAAAAATAAAAATGTGTGCGTGTACTAGGTGTACACACGTAAGAAGTGAAACTTCTTTATGACCTTATTAGAAACTATTTTTTTAAACACAGTAAATTTTGATACACTGCCTAGCATACAATTTACAAATTAATTGCTGCAAATTGTGATTAGCAAATTTCAAGTCGAAAATGTAATCCGTTGTCAAACTTCAAAGTCAAAAACATACTATATGTCATATTTTAACGCCGATAAAGAAGTTTGACTTCGAAAATGTAATCCGTTGTCAAACTTCAAAGTTAAAAACATACTATACGTCATATTTTAACGCCGATAAAGAAGTTTGACTTCAAAAAGCAACATGGCGCGTAACGGAACAATGTGACGCGTAACGCAAAAATGTTACACTAAATTTTTTTCCAACCTCGATAAAGAAGTTTCAAGTAAAAATTAAAGGAGAATTAAATCTTTAAAAGAAAAAATACAATAACATTTCAATAAGAAAAATATTTTTACGTACTGGTGAGTCCAATACTTGGGCAATTACTGTAGAATCTAATCTGTAGCTAATATTCAAGTCACGTAAGCTATCTCACAAAGGAAAATTAAGGGAGTTTGTGCAAAAATGTTCAACCTTTAAACAGGGTCTTTCATATTGAGGGGGAGAAAGCTTTTAAGCTCACGCATTATTCAAATTATAGGCAATCTTATTTGACATTGTTTCATCATCTTTTAAAAAAGATAAACACGTCAATTGATAAATTTGTGATAACAAATTTATTATTTATTTAACGATTTATATAAATCTGACATTTAGACACCGATGTAAACAATAAATTTTGAGATTTACGGTCACAGTTAAACTTAGGTCTATATGCAATAATACAGAATGGTTTTGCCATATCACTCTCGTGGTAAATTATTTAACTTATAAATAAATAACTAATAGCTATCTATAGTAAAATTAGAATTTGCTATATTCCGCTTGATAGTTAAAACAATAGATAGATAGATAGCGTTAATAACAATTTAATAATAATAAAGATTTCTGTCTGCTGTATGATTTTTTAGTCTCTCGATGTAGCTGAAAAGCATTTAAAACATTGACTTTTGTATATAATGTAATAAGTTACCGTTTAGAGATTGAATTAAAATAAATAAAGCCTTTACTTTTTGACCAATATTTTGCAAATAAAATGACCAATCATTGGTAAAAAACAACTACTTCTCTTCAACCGGTTTTATGATCAGGTTCTGACATAGGCTTCCCTCTTTACGTCATTCTGTTCTATCCTGTCCTAGTCTGCTAGCCGGAAATTCTGAATAAGTCATGTTTTAATCTGTAGTACTCGAGTCAACCAAATATAACATTATAATTGCAGTTGAGAAATGTTATACTCGTACGTTTAAGAATGAATCCCTTGGAATTTGTATGTATGGGAAAGTAGACAAAAATTTCAAATAATTTTGCTCAAATCAAGACTACGTTTTTGTGTAATTTAATTAATCTAGTGTTGATGCATTGCGAAATGTCCCTAAATGTACGAAGTGTATTGGAAAAATTTAAATCGCATTCCGCTCACGATCTGCCATTACTCGTTGACACTGACTTCCAATTCTACTAAAAATCATTTACAAGTAAAGACAACCCTAAATCTCTTATGCAAAACTCTAATTTTGTGTATTTTTTCATGTTTAAGTGAATTTTATTTATTGGATCATAGCCAAATCACTGAGTGAAGTATAAGTATTATCAGTACACTGATTTATAAACTTACGTTAGTTTTTAATAGTTTTAAAACGTCTAGGTGTTATCACTGTGGTTTAAGTATATAATTAGTTTTAATTTCAATTTGCGTTTTTGTTTTTCTTGTTTTGCCTATATTTTTCTTGTCGTTATGTCGTTTTCTTACTTTTTTGAGCATACTTATTGTTGTAGAAGTTATAAATAAATTAAAAATACTAATATTCATTATCTAATTGACCTTTGGCACTTATAATAAGACTTTGTGATAACTTGTGTTTAGTTAATGTTTCGCACATAAAAATAGATTTTTGTAACAAAATTACAATTTACAAAAAAATTTATTGCTTGGTAAGTTGCTGATTTTTTATGTAACTAAATGGACAAGGGGCTCATCTGATGTTAATTGATACCGCCGCCCATCGACACTCCCATTGCTAGAAGGCTAGCAAGTGCATGGGTGACCTTTAAAAAATTGGTACGCTCTATTCTTGAAAGACCCTAAGTCGAATAGGTTCGGAAATACTTTAGTAGGCAGTTGGTTCCACATGGTGGCGCGTGGCAAAAACTACTTTAAGCAACGCTCAGCTGTGGAACGACGGACATCGAGGTGATACGAATGGTATTTTGTATTCTCCCTAGAAGTCCGATGATGAAACGCAGCTTCATGTATTCATTGCTTGTTATTTTAAAGATACTACTCTAGTCATGACATTTTCGTATTACAAAACTTTTTTATGCATGAAACAGCAACTGACACTGTTATATTATTTTTTATCTTTATGCATATAGGTAAACAAGTACACTTATGAACCCCAAAAAAGAAGTTAAATTTATTGTAATACAAAGCTTTATACATTTACTAGCTGACCCGGCAAACGTCGTTTTGACATGTATATCATTTATAATAAAAAATAGGGGTTGATCGTAGAGGGGTGAAAATTAGGGGTTGTATGTATTTTTTATTGCTGTATCATAAAAAAAATATCTACAAATAAAAAAAAAAAATAGGGGTGGACTACCCTTAACATTTAGGGGGATGATAAATAGATGTTGTCCGTTTCTCAGACCTACCCAATATGCACACAAAATTTCATGAGAATCGGTCAAGCCGTTTCGGAGGAGTTTAACTACAAACACCGCGACACGAGAATTTTATATATTAGATACATTAAACATTTTTATTATTAAACGTCAATTATTTAAAGAATGTTAGTCTTATATTTATACATAGTCAATATCGTACTAAGTAAACATTTTAAAACTAAAGAAACGAAGTAGGGTAGAGCGGGGCTAGTTGAGCATAGGGGCAAGTTGGGCAATCGAAATATCTCGGAAACTATTCACCTTACGCGGGAGTATCAAATAGCGAAAAGAAGGAGTGGTAGGAGAGGTAATCATCGCACAATAGCTAGTGGCAGCTCGACGAGTGAGTGAAGTGTCACGGCGTTTTGTTTATTTTGTGACCAAAAAGTAAAAACATTGTTTATCGCAAGTTTTCGTCTGTCTTTGTCAAATGTTCTCTGTTTTCAATCAGGAGAGTGTTAATCTTTCAGAAGATTATTGTATTTTTGATTTGTAAATAGGTTTTGGGTCTAATTCTAGGCATTTATTTACAATCCTACTTTTCTTTTAAAATTCCGGGTTGGGGTAAGTTGAGCAACTGTAGCTCAACTAACTCTACGACTTAATCAACTGATGAGTAATGAATCTTTTATTTTTTGTTTGGATGCGGACTTACAAGAGAAAGACTACAAGATGTTCTTACACTACTGAATACTTAAATAATGCTGCAAAGGCTGTCCACGATGAGGGAAAAAGTGTGAATACCGCCGCTAAAGAATTCTGAATTGGTTGACTTTTAAATAAATTAAATGAAGGTGATGATTCATTAATGGGCTATACAACACCGAGGGAAGTATATCCTCTCTCACAAGAGAACTGTTGAAAAAATTCTTGCTGCAAATGGCATTTTTCTCCAAAAGACGTCCGTCGCCTTGCCTAAGAGTGTGCTGAAATTCCACCAAGCTGAATTGCAAAAAAGATTTCCGGAAAAGAATGGTTGATGATGTTTTAAAAACAAAAAAATCGTAGCTATCCATACAGAAACCAGAACCCACCAGCCTTGGTAATCTTTTTTTAGAAATTATCGGAAGTAATGGATAGATATGGATGCTCATGTTTTGTTGATTCTAGTTTCGGTTAATTATACAAAGAAAATTTCTTCAAATTTTGTTGTTCTGTCAATAAAAGACTATAAACAAAAAGCTGACTGTCTAACACATATTTTATTTCATCTCAAGTTAACATAGAACCCATGGTTAGGCCTAGACATTCTTAGTGCCCAACTTGCCCCATACCCTTGCTCAACTTACCCCACCTATGGGGTACATTGAGCATACTTGACTTTCTGCATTTAAACATCTGTAGCTATTATATTGGACTTGTTACAAAAAAATACTATGGACACTTTTGTTAAGGGATAAATTACTAATCCATCAGGACACATAACAACTCATTGAGACTTATCATTGAGGAGCTATATCCAAGCAAGTGAAAAATTGCTCAACTAGCCCCGCCCTACCCTATTATCTTCATTACTCAGTGATTTTATTACTTCTAACATATCTTTCTTATTAAGTACAATTCCGTGAATACAGTATTGCATACATGTTCTTTGATCTTTGTATAAAAGCACAGGCTAATTAAATGCTTGCATACAGAAAATAGTAGGTAAAGTAACGTACACATTATGCCTCAGTGTGAAGTGGATTACGCGCGGGTGTGTTTCCCTTTGACTCTCAACTCTATCAGCCTTATGAAACGTGCTTGTATTATTTTGTATCGAAATAACATCGTAACCATGGTAACAAACACAAAAACGGTACATAATATGTTATAAGAGAAAGTGGAAATACTCTTTTAATGAAAAATATACTTATTGGAAAATCATAAAGGCTTCCGGTTATTTCTTCTTCTAATAGATTCCGTTTTCTGTTTTCGATTTCTGAGGTTCTGTATCACCTCATTATAAGTATGAATTATCAAAGCTTACGTCATCAGGGTAACTTAGGAGTACTATCAGTCAATAAGTATTTATTCAATAGTTGATATCGGAATTTCCTTTACAAAATAACGAGACTGCATTGTTCCTTGGTCTGGCAGGATTTAGGTAAATACCTGCCTGAACTGTATTTTATGATATTTTAGCGCCGCATTAACTGTAATCCAATTTGTTGAAATACAATATTGTCTATAGTGCTACTTAATATTTCAATATTGACAAAATAAAGGTACACAAAGGCAACTTAAGAAATACAAGGCAATACTCTTACATAAACTCTTCAGAATTCCAAAAAATCACAAAAACCTCAAACGTGAACGTAACTTCTTTAAGCAAACGGTCTTAGCAATAAAATCCCTTGTAAAAGCACAAAATTGTTCACTATAAATGAAAAATCACCGAAACACGTTTTGCGGCGCGCGACAAAAGAACGCACGTGACCTGACTACTTGCTGAGATTTCAGTTGCGTGCCGATGCAGAACTTTCTTTGTTTCATCAACGGTTTTGTTTTAAAAATATACTTTTATTTTGTTGAAGGGAGCTAGACTTAATAAATTTATAATTAGATATTGAAAAAAATAAAACAATAACTTTCGAACCTTTCAAAAAATTAATTAATAATACAATTTGAGTAATAATTATATTTTGCAAAGGCAATTGAGGCTAATAAATCTGTTACTGAGCATTGCCTACTTAATACTGAATGATAACTAAAACTTCACCAAGCCAATTATGTAACCTTCTATAAGCCTCAATATTTTTATGTTGTATGCAAATATGTGCTTATTAGCTTACATTTCGATTACAATTGCAACATACGTTTAACGAATATTATTAACTTAATTAATAAAAACTAGTTTCTTTTTATCATAGAGTAACATGATTTGATAGAAAACGACGTAAGATAACATAAAAGAGTGCAATAACACTTATTTAGTTTTTATGGATGAGAATATTGTTTGCCTAAAGCCCTACTGATAGATTATGGCTATAATAGTGTTACGAATTCGGGTTAAATGAAATGTTTACCGATTTTCCTACAAGTAAGAGACGTTCGTCAAGGTAAAATATGATTTATGACCGATTGAATAGAGGTTAATACATACGAGAAAATTGAAATTACAGATCGTTTTTTATAGAAAACATGCTGAGCCTGAAACCTTTTTTCAGCCTGTTATAGAGCAAGTGTAGTCACATGGTACAGTTTTCAGGCGTTTTCAGGACCGGTTATACCTACGGCTTAGATGAAGAACATTCCATAGTCAATTGCCTAGGTGTGAGACGAGGAAGGAATGGCATGCTAAAGAGTAATTTTATGGGAATCTTTCCGAAGGCAGACTGAACATTCTAGAACTCCGTTCTTTAAGGAATAAAAATGTCGAGAAATTGCTTAATTATCAGATTTTTAAATTGTCATTATGAAATTAAAAATTTGCAAAACAGCCGTTGTCACAGAAATATTTGCGGTCCACATCACGTTTTAATAAAAAGCTCATAAGCCAACAAATAGCGGCCATATCTATTTCATCAGACAGCTCTCGGATTTGGCTCGCAGCCACAAAGTTGGCCTCCCAAAGGAAATATCAGAAATGATCAAAATTTCAGTGTATTGGCGCTAGATATGAATAAATTATACTGTAATAATGAGGACCGAATTAGATTTTATTTGTGTTTTTATATAAGTTTTACTCTATATCATATATATATATAGGTGTATCAAAAGTTCTGTTCCCATAGTTGTTCCTGTGCCCATAGGGCCATGAAGAACACTGTCAATTACTAATCCATAGAGGTTTACTTTTCTTTTTTTTGGCTGCGTAGTAGTACTAAAAATGATGCCTATATTACCTTCTGTATTTTATACTAATTAAGGTTTTATTAAACTCGTAGGATAAGATTGCTAGTCAAGACTTAGCGGTCTTTCCCATACAACTTAAGCTAAAGAATTTTAGACAGATTCGGCCATGGTGGCTATCTCTATCTATCTCTATCTTGTCTTTATCTAGTAACTTAAAATGCTATGATGTATCAATCAAGGCCAGAGTAATCCACAACTGAGCGTGTTTTAAGGCAGTTCTTCCGCGCACCACCAATATGAGGAACCAGCTGCCCACTGAAGTATTTCCGAACCAATTCGACTTAGGGGCCTTCAATAAAAAAGCGTACCAAATCTTAAAAAGCCGGAAACGCATCTCTGATTGGGAGTGTCCGTTGGCGGTGGTATCACTTAACATCAGATGCGCCTCCTGCCCATTTTTCCCCTATTCTATAAAAACAACTAATAAATAACCTACAGTTGAAGCACTAATCCAATAGACTTGTCTAAAACAAATATACTTAAACGCTAAAAAAATTGAAATTGTAACAATAAAATAACATACATACATATAATTTATTTGAAACATTCCCAAACTCCCATAATTCTGTTACGAGAAACATTTGATTAGTCAAAGAAATTTCAAAGAAAATTTTCAATGTTATAAAACTCGCAAAATGATGTATTTAAAAAGTTCCTTGGAGATTATTTTAAGCGATTTCATATTCCATGTAGCTTTGGCTACTTATAATATTTTGTAGGTGCTACTAATGAAACTCGATTCAGTCACACGTTATCAGTCACACGTGACTGATAACGATATAATATCTTACCTCCTGTTATTTTGCACCCTTGTTAGTTCGGATTGCGTTGCACAAGTATTTAAAACCCGTCTTTTGTGTGACAATCTTCAAACTAACCCGACTTCACTCCGTTGATGCGCTGCGTCCTCCGCGCTCTAAGGGCAAGCCAGCAGCGCCAGCAATCTAGCGCACGCCGCACGCACTTCACTTCAACCCCCTCTGCCCTCTCTAGTCCTGCATTCAGAATGTTCAATTTGTCACGCCAAAATGAGTCGTCAGTGTTCTCCAAACTCTTACATGGAGTACGTAGCAATGATCCAGCTACGTATATGTAACCAATTAAATAATTCGGAAAAGCTTAAAGGTGAAATGACGTTTAGAGCAAGTGCTTCGTTTCAGGTATGTTTATAGATACGTAAATAAAAAATACGACTATGATTCTAGCAAAAAAAGGAAAGAAATTAAATGTCATTATTATTATAAGCTTGATATTAAACCGATTATCATTTATTGAAATTAAATTTCATTACATTATTTTGTTACATTACAAAAACGACTTAGTCAAATCAAAGAATAAAAGAGTTAAACAAGTTAGAGAATTGTAGGAAATTTCAAATAAATAAAATTATATTGATTGTAAAGAAAGTGAATCACGTAGTAGGGACAATGATTCGTGTTATTTCAGTCACGGATTTACAGCTCCTTTGGAATAAGACAAACGATGGTACGCGAACAGGCAAATTGTTGCTAACAAAAAATTATTCGCAGCAACCATGCTATTTTCTATTTATGTACGAACGTAGTAATCATTATTTGTTTAAATTTGTGTGTAAAATAAAGAAAATTGAGTAGTATTTTGATTAATTAAAAAAGTTAAAAAAAAAAATCATGATTGATGATTGAAACAGATATAGACCTCAGATTTCTGTATCTTTTTCGTAATCATTTGTTTTTTAGTAGGCAAGTAGATCAGCCCCTGATACACGCCGTCAACTTTTTGGGTCTTTAGCATGCCGGTGTCTTCGCGATATTTTACTTCACCGTACGACCGACAGGTTAATGCCCATTGGTTCTCAGTCGGAGATCCAACCTAGGACCTCAGGGTTAAGGCCACAAAGCTAGCACTTCTGTTTAGTGTTAGTTTTCTAACTGTGTAGGCCAAGATAAAAAGTGTTAAATAATATGAGCGGCGTGGTCAGCAAGGCATAAGCATGGCATAATGCGTGGAAATAAACAAAATAAATAACGAAAAATATGAGATAAGAAAAAACGTGAGTTGTGCAAACTCTAAGAAACGGAAAAATTAATAGACTAATAGATTTGCTTCATCCTCTGAATTCTGTTTTCTCTGTGCTCCTGCTAATACCTGTGCTTATGTTCTCACTTGTGCTTTTTGTTTTGCGTTTTGCATTTTTCATAGTTTCTTTCTATATTTATTATTTTAATGTAGATGGTTATTTATGTTTATTTTCGTTGTCCTATTTTAAGAGTATTTTGGTATTTTTCATAATCGCGGAGTGTACATATGGATAACCTGATCTGTGACCTATCTAATATGGTTTAAGGTTTAATTTTTAAGCCCCGGATGTACCATACCCGGGCTTAAAAACAAACACAAAACAAAGATACACAGAGACACTAAAAAATTCACAACTTTCTTTTAATAAAAATATTCTATTTATTATTTATTGAGCTGTTTGTAACAATACACGTTGAAGAGGTAAAATGTGCAAGTCAAACAAATAATTTTACATACATTACAATCGTTAATGTTCAATATCAATTCTATCAAAGACTCGTTCGGATTTCGACAGGGATATTTTTGGTTTCATCTTTTGAAACATTAATACAAATGTTCGAATCTGTACGCCACAAACATTCTCATTTCTCGGCGAAATATCATATGTTAAAGACATATTCAATTTACTTTTACAATACTCCACGACAGAGGTCTTTTCGTTATTTATAGATAGTCAAATGATTTTGAAGTGACGCAAATATTCAAAAAATTTTTATTGAAATTCGGTGAACCCGTATGAATTGGATAGTTTATTAATTAACAATTTTGACCAAGAAGACTTCCAATTAATGGTTTTACCGGGGGTCAAACCCCGCAACTACGCAACACTGCGCCATGGACACAGCATCTTTATCGCGTATTAAATGCATTGCTTGGCTTGACTGGTTTCTTATAGTACGACTGCTTCTTTACATACAATTTTAGCGTAAAATTAGTTTTATAATATTTGATACAATATCCACTATGTCTAGTCAACTCACAGAAAAACATTGTTATCAAGTTTATTACCCACAATCTAATTAACTTTATTTTTTTACATTTAACGAAAAAATTTACAAAGTTCACTTACTAATTGTATATTATCAGAACCCTTCAGTGTAAAACCAGCAATCCCGACTCCGTGTCATATAGGGCAGACATTCAATTTGTTCACATGGGGCACGGAAAAATTGAAAATAGATTGATCCTGTAACTCAAGCGTGCGGGCCCAATGGCTCGGATGAGGCGGGATTAGGAGATTTCGTGCGGTTTGAGGGTGTTCAACTCGTTTTTTATGTAAAATTAAACATCTTGTATTAGCAATGAGAAGTCGTTTGTGTAAATCCTATTGTACGGTTTACTTGTATATAGGTTATTTCCATCGCCTGTTTTGACATTAAGTAACTTAAAACACATCAAGTCACCATAGTACACGATTCCATCGCCTTCGGTCTTCACCTCGCATTCAGGTGCTTCAGCTCAGCTCAGCTTCAGCTTCGCATTTCACCTCGCTCCAAGTCTTGCCGGTTCTCTTTTCCTCAGGTTTGATCTGCTGGCTAATCGGGGTTTATCGGGGTTCCCAGTTCCCACCTTCTTATGCCAGTAGTTGACGAAAACTTGGAACCGGTGTAAGATGTCGTTAGTTCCACGTTTCACACCTATATGCAGCACAAATTTGACGTTGCGCTGATTTTTTGCTTGTCGATGTTTTTATTTAGGGATACTGAATAATTTTCTTTCAATAATATTTCTAAGAATAAAGTGACTTCAATTGTGTTGATCACAAAGAAAACGTTTATTTTAAATCGTCGGCGTTGTCTTCCACCATTCACATATTATTCATACCTTTTTTTTTATAGAACAGGGGGCAAACAGACAGGAGGCTCACCTGATGTTAAGTGATACCGCCCATGGACACTCTCAAGGCTACAGGGCTCGCGAGTGCGTTGCGGGCCTTTTAAGAATTGGTACGCTCTTTTCTTGAAGGACCTTCGGTCGAATTCTTCGGGCAGCTGGTTCCACATAGTGGTGGTGTGTGGAAAAAACTGCCATATAAAACGCTCAGTTGTGGAACGACGGAAGTCGAGGTGGTTATCCGTCCGATGATAAAACTCTGCTGCGGGTATTATTTTATCCGAACAACTCAGAGAAGAAGAAGAATCTACGCAACGCCAAGGGGTCAAGCAGCTCGGAAAGGGATTGGTCGTTTACGATTCGAACCGCTCTTCATTGAATACGGTCACGTGGAAGTAGATGGTATAACTTGGCCAATAATCTGAAATCATGTTATTAGTATTATTTTAATAAAAACAATTTTTTTTAATCTGACACAGGCACAGAAACACGATACGACCAATAACTAATAAACTTGCTATCGTTAAGTCCTGTTTCATTGGTGTAGACATAACTTTTATAGCGAAGCCAATTTCATAATTATCTTAAACAACAACATAACATAGAAAATGCAGAGCGCGTACTAATATTGATTTTGAATCAGTCATTATAAATGAAAAAGCGAGGACACGTTCGCTCCATAATGATCAATTAGACCGTGTGTGCGCAGACTTGTATCGTCAATATTTGACTCATAAATACTTGAATAAATTTTAGAAGATATTCCGTAACACAATCAAATTAATTAACAGAGTAAATTTGTATCTGTTCTGTTATTTCTGTCACTATGTCATCCATTGAAATGTTTACATGGGCCTAACATTTGTTAGAGGACGTCATTTTATATATGGGACATGTAGGGGCGGGGGGGCTCAATACAACATACATTTTTTGATAAAATAAAAAGAAAAAAAGTTATTAAACAAAAAAGTAATTTTTTTCACTTTTTTACTTTTTGATTTTTAAGATTTATGATAAAAAAGTCACAGAAACAATTGTAGGCAAAGAGATTTGCCACTAAAGATGTCACCACAATTTTTTGGGTACGATGGATAATTTAGGAGATATAGCCAAAAACGTGTTTTCACCCCTTTTTCCAAGATGACGGCCGGGGGACAAGGTCACCAACCTCACAAACTTGGGTTTAAGCTTGTATTGACCCCCCCTACATGTCCCATAAATAAAATTGCGTCCTCTAAAAAATGTGCAGTTTGGCCCCCAAATTGTAACATTTCAATGAACTATATGTATAGAGAAATATATGATTAAACTTTCGAATGTGTCCCGAGGTAGATTTCTACCATCGCCTACTTTTATCAAGGCATGTGCTGGACGTTCTGGGTCGTCTTGGAAAATGTAGCCAATTTATTTTCCGTTGGTTAGGTTAGCTAAGTACATTGATCGCTATGTATATAAATAAATTCATTTTTAATCTCGTCTAACATAATTTAATCATAGATGGTTAAACTTGTTGAAATAATTTGTATTGTCTTTAATCTCCTTCATAAATTCGCTCAGAAATCACGAATGTTATTTTAATGGATAAAGGATTTGTCTTATATATATATAGGGTGTCTCAGTAAGAGTGATTTTTAAAATTGTAATATTTTTGGTTTTCCTGCAAGTAGCAGCTCTGAAATTGAAGGTGTACTCTGTTTATTCGATTATTAAATGGAGGCTTTTTGAAAGAACAACTCGTTATAATTGTGAAAACTCATTACAAAAGTAACGCTGAAAACGCTCGCAAACTTCACCAAATTTTCAGCCGAGAAAGTGCACTAATTTCAACCATTCGAAGAGTGGTCAAAATTTGAAGAAACTGCATTGGGTATGGATAATAAGAATCTTTGGTCGACGTACCGGTCGGTCAATTGAAAACATTGTGCTGTAAACAGAGTTCGCCGAATACCCGAAAACATCAATTCGACTTAGCAAATTTTGACTAAAGACCTTCATGCGTACAAGATTCAGTTAACTCAGGACTCAAACCAGCAGACCAAGGAAGGCACCGGCAATTTGCTCAATAATGGAGCAAAGGGAATCGATCCAATTTTTCGAAAAAGTATTTTCTCCGATGAAAGAACACATTATCTCACAAAATCCTGATGTCAACTGCCACAAGATCGTGCAATTTAACGCCGTGCGATTTTTTCTTTGGGTTTTGTGAAATCTCGAGTTTATGCGATAAACCGAAACCATTCTGAGCTCAAATCGAAAATCCAACGCGTCATCGGTAAGATACAGCCACATCTCTGTGAAAAGTCATGGAAAATTTCATGAAGAGTGTAATGGCCTGTCATCGGAGCCGTGGAGGTCATTTGCCGGATATTTTATTCCATACTTAATCGGAACATGTCTTCTTTACAATACAATAAAAATATCAGAACTCTGTCATAAAATACTTGTCTTTATTTAAAAATGAAAAAGTGCACTCTTACTGAGACACCCCTTATTATAATGTTCTGTGCGAGTGTGTATAATAAATTCCTCCTAAATGGCTATTGATAAAAAAATTGTGTGTGTTTATAATTAGATAATTTGTTTTATATATATATTATAATGTTCTGTGCGAGTGTTTATAATAAGTTCCTCCTAAATGGCTATTGATAAAAAAATTGTGTGTGTTTATAATTAGATAATTTGTTTTATATATATATTATAATGTTCTGTGCGAGTGTTTATAATAAATTCCTCCTAAATGGCTATTGATAAAAAAATTGTGTGTTTTTATAATTAGATAATTTGTTTTATATATATATTATAATGTTCTGTGCGAGTGTTTATAATAAATTCCTCCTAAATGGCTAATGATAAAAAAATTGTGTGTTTTTATAATTAGATAATTTGTTTTATATATATATTATAATGTTCTGTGCGAGTGTTTATAATAAATTCCTCCTAAATGGCTATTGATAAAAAAATTGTGTGTGTTTATAATTAGATAATTTGTTTTATATAGTCGTGTACATATCAACACCATCACATTCTTAAATCAAATGTAAAATATAGTTACCTCCTAAACTTAATAACCTATGTTTATTTAAAATACAAATCTAGCGAAGTTATGTAACAAAGGATGTTGCTCCACTTTGTTACACTTAAGTAAATTTCGTTTCCAGCCGCAGGGCTCAACGCTAATCGTGATTTCAGGCTTTCAGTAGCATTATACGTGGCGTTTTTCATTCCTAAAAATTATTTATTTGTATAGCTAGTTGTTCTCGTGATTTTTACGCCCTAAATTTTTTGGAACTTCAAAATTAAAAATTTAGTAATTTAATTTTTTTAAGTATAAAAAGTGATAAGCTCAATTTTTTATTATTTTGACTTCGAAATGGGTATTACTTTGACTGTAATAAAAATACTATATGAGGTTGCTGTCAGTATGAAACCATCCTATTTGCCAATTATCTTTAAAAACCTTATAGTGCGTTGTACTTATTCGAGAAACCTTATTATAAAACCTAAAGTGGGAAGTTTTTCCACACGTGCAGAATTTTGTATCCAGAAATAAAAAGTGTGCACACATTTGACTAATATGCCGCCATGTTGAAAAAATGTGACGATGATTGGCCAATTTAAATTGCGTTCGAGAACGTGAAAGGAAAAGGCAATTATTTTTTTATCTGCCAACATTCGTATTGAATTTTTAAAGTTCCAACAATTCGCTACCTATTGTCAATCTTACGAAATAATAAAATTGGGTTTAAATTTGTATATTTAAACAAGTAAAAACTAGTGCGTTTATGAGTGTTATAAATGAAGGAAAATTATACGGAAATAATGGGTACTTCAAATATTTAATACGAATTAATTCACGTAACTTTTTATTTTTGGTATAGATGTTGGTCGTTAACAATAATATAACTAACTTTAAATTTTCATTTGGTTCAATTTAATTTCAGATTATTCGCTTCAATTATTCGTTTCTAAACGGCACTATGTTATATATATATGCACTAAATAAACGTAACAGATACAAAATATAAAAATAGTGTATGTTTAAATAAATATTGGATTGTGTGACTACATGTATAGATGACAATTCTATTGGAAAGTCGGATAACTGAAAAGAGATCGCTTTATATAATAGGACAGAGAGTGAATCGAGTGGAAAATTAGAAAATCCCAAAAGGCACTTTGAACATAAATTATGTAAAGTATAAGTCAAATAACATATATTTCTCGGTTATATTATTATAATGTATGATTTGGTAAAAGGGGATACCCCTAGGGGGGATAGAGAAAGATAATCTTTGAGTAGCTTAAAAAACTTTACCCGATCCTAATGATTGCATTGCAGATGCATTTGACATTTGTGCTTTTGCTACTCCAAAAGACTCTGCTACGAAAAAAGATATGCGTATTCGTGTTGCTATAGTGCTAGAAATAGTTAGGTATTTCATTAATATTAAAAAAAAAAATTGTTAAACATACAAATATTTGTTGTTTTTTTCTGTATGTAGGTGTTTGTATTGTCTTGTACTTGCTGCATTGGGATGACCTGTCTGTCAACTCAACTTATTTTGCCAAATATATAAATCAACAAATTTCCTGATATTTGTCATTCTCTATTATATATATGTATGAATGACAGAGAATGACAAATATGAGTCGTCGTTTCTAGCTGATTGATAAGTCTAGCCAATTATATTTTATAAAAAAATATTTTATTATATATGCTACTCGTTAGTGAAGCTTAACATATAAGTAACAAATATCGTTTTTGAATTTTGCAGGACAGAAGACCTAATCGTTTATTGCAATCTAAAATGGTAATTTATCAAATAATGCTTGTGGCAAGAAACTGAGTACTTGACCAGTGGCGTAGCTAGGTGACCAAGGGCCCTGGGGCAAATTAAAAAATGGGGGCCCACTGCTATGTAAACTGATTATGTTTAATCAAATAAAAATATGAAATATACAAATACTTTAAAAATGCTAAGCTACGTAAGCTCTTATTTGTGCAGGGCAGGTAATAAAAATATTAAACAGTAACAACATAAATTACAATTAATACTTGATGTAGGTTTGGCGAATAAAATGAAATACAGAAGATTCAAGGGCTTATTATATAAAGGTCGGGCCTACCAACTGACTAAATAACAATTATATTTACAATTTTTTCCTAGCTTTAGTTTTCGCAAAAGTATCAATAACTTCATTTAAATCCAGGCTTGATGCGGTTTTGTTTTCAATTGTTATCTAATTCGCGTTATACAATGAGCTGTAGCCGAAATCTTTAGATTTGACACGATATATTGACTTTAACGGACATCAGTATGAGTGGTAAAATCAAATAAAATTGAACCACTATATTGACCAGTACAAAAAAGTTTATTGACATTAGCTTACTCCTGATACAGCATGAATTTTTTAACCGTTAAAAATAAATCTTAACTCGAATTCACAATAAAACGCACATCGATGAATATTAAAATGCCCATATCACTATCCGTCAAATTGACAACACTGCCAACCTACAGAAAGAATTTAGGGGAATTCCCTAGGCATAACTTTTGAATTTCTCTCAAATTAATGTCTTGATTAAAGTGGGGTTGCAACCTGTCATATTTATTTTGAAAACGGGAGAAATTTCCAAAAGTTCAGAACGATCGAGATTTCTGGTGAGGATTCGAGGGCCCCCTGAGCTTGCGGGCCCCGGGGCACTGCCCCGCCTAGCTAGGTAGCTACGCCACTGTACTTGACTCCGTAATCTGTACCGAAAGTGACGCTGGTTATAATAAAGAAACACAATATTTTGTAAGTTGTTTTTAAACCTTTTTTTAGGTTTAAATTCGAATCTTTTGTTTCAACGAGAACTCGAGGTTTTAACTCGCAGCCACAGGCTATGAATAAAAGATTTTTTTTTTACATTTTACAACGAACTACCTCCGATTACAGTTTAATATTAAAATCTATATATTTTATGGATAGGAGGAGGAGGAACTATTGGAGTGGTAGGTTTTTATAAAGCATAGTAAAACCTGTTAGCCGATTTTCATGACTTATTGCCACAACTTTTGTTCCGAGAAATGTGTGTTGAGGTTTCTTGTGAATTTTGTTATATTTTATAAAATGTGTTTAATATTAATTATACAACATATACTCACAAGTCACACTCTTAAAAAATTATGACTATTAGTTGTAAAGTCAAAGAACGCTTGAAATACTACATTACAAGTACTTTATAAAGTTTTTTTTCTGTGGGTATTTGCAAGCCCTGAGACTATGAGCGAATCTGTTCTGTGGTACTGTCATAATCTTATCATTAACCACTTAAGATCTTGTTCTATTGTCGATGGAGTATATTTTGTGTTTGTATCACTTGCGCTGCTCCACAGTTGGAGGCAATATGTCCAAATGGGCTTTAGGATGACTTTATATACAAAGAGTTTGTTGTCAAGAGAAAGTCTCGAGTTTCTTCCTAGCATCCAGTAAAGGCTGTTGTACTTTAGCTGTAGCTCCTGCTTTTTATATTTGATGTGGTGCCTCCACGTTAATCAGCGATCGATAAGCCAAGATATCTTACATGGTCGCTGTGGGGCTGAATACATTGATCCGACTTTACAGATGGGCAGTCTCCTCTTCTAAGGGTGAAGGTCACGTGTACTGACTTCGCGGCACTAGCTTTTATTTTCCATTTTTGTAGCCATTCGTTAACTTTGTCAAGGCCCTTCTGCAAGTCCTCTGATGCAAGTCTTGGGTCTTTATTGCTTGCTAATATAGATTTATAAAGTAAAGATAAAAAATGCGTCCATAGATTATTGCTCAGTTCAGTAACTAAGTAAATAAACAAACTTTTTATGCTCATACTCCCGCTTTTCTTAGATTAGCGAATAGTGAAAATATATATATTTTATAACATATATACATATAATATATAACATTCAGGGGGGTGTTGGCGGCCCAGTGCTAGAAAAGGAGGCGTTAGTTGGAGTAATTGTTGCATCGATTCGGCCTTCAAAGTCCAAGTTGGTGGCTGCAAATGCTGAATTGGATCATGGACACCGTGAAAAGTTCCTAGACGAGGAGCTTTCCAGAACCTAAAGAACATTTATGAATTTAATTTAATTAATATGAGAACTTGGACTTTTATTAATTCTTATATCATAATTAAACGCTTATAGCATCTATAACGTATATATATTATATATATCTATAAAATATCTGATTTTTTTAAACAACAAGAACAATAATTAAATATAAATTTCGAATAGAATTAAATCCTGCAATTTTAGTAGTAATTGAAATAAAAAGCACTCGAATAAAATGTATTTATTTATTTTTATTTACCATAACCAAATGTATGTATTAATAATGAACGGACTGCCCTGCCTTTTATTGGTGTGTCTGTGTGTACGTATTATGTGTATGTGAAAGGGTATGTGTGACTATTTACTTAATAAATTAATTTGTATATCGTTTTTTATCATTGTAGGTTGTTTTATGGAAAATATCATATTGAGAAAATTTAAAAAAAGTTGTAAATGCTGTACCAATATTTATAGAAACTAGGACATTCATGTCCACAGATTACATTTGATTCGGTGTTTTATTTATTGATTATATATATATTATATAGATTCTACGATTTGGGGCTAAGAGTAATCCTGAGATATAGCGCTTAGTATGATGTAATGTAGTTTTTTATTTATGGCTTTGATCGTCTGCTTCCCGCAATAAAATTTGTGAATTATCACGCATACAATCCTCATTCACCTTATCCTTAGATGGAGTTCGAACCCTGATGCCGTGGATTCGTAAGTGCGTAGAGTCACACACTTAACCGCATTGCAAAAACTGCAGTAATACAATTTATATTTATTACATCTATCTACTTTAAAAGACAAATTGAACCTGCGAAATAAGGAGACAGTTTTTGAAGAAAAATGACACAAGCTGGAATTGAATTGGTAACAGCTAGACTGCTATTTCCCCATCTCCATTTACAAGGGCAGCCTGCAGGTACAAAAGCATTTTTCATTTGAATACTCAAAAGGCGCGAACACATTACGCACGATCGTTTAGCGTGTACCTTTGCCATTTCGCAACGTATTAAAATTTGTACTTCAATAGTATGGGAGGAGTACGAAATAAATAACTAAATAATAACGTTAAAACAACTCAAATCACCATTAATAATGAAAGATTTAATGTTTACTCCGCCCGATTAAATGTGTGAGGTGAGTTATGTATCAAAACACAGTAAATGCAAAAAATAAAAAACAAAGCACATTGCTAAGACTCCGTAAGTATTTTTCGTAACCACAATGTCACACGTCTTTGACAACTCCATCCCACCAACGCAGTCTCGGTCTACCGGAATTTCTCTTGCTGAATATCAAACAGTTATTATTGAATATTAAACAAACACTAACTCATAGGTTTGTCTATGATAAGACTATACGAGTACTAGCAATGAAAAAGTATAACAACAAGCAGTAATCAAATAAGGCAGTTTTTGCCGAGCACCACCGCTATGTGGAACCAGCTGCCCACACAAGGATTTCCGAACCAATTTGACTTAGGGTCCTTCAGAAAAAAGAGCTTAACCAAGTTTTAAAATGCTGGCAACGCAATTGCCAGCTTTCTGGCAATGCAAACGAAGTTTTGTCTGAATTTGATCATAAAATCTGTTGTTTTATGTCACATGTTAGACTAGAGTTACCTTTGAGCAATCAAACGGAATCTGTCGTAGACTTGCGTTACTGTTAACGTTACGCATAAGTTACAGCGTAATGTGCAGACACCATCGGTATAACATGTAATGAAACAATTCCCAGGGGCAGTGACGAAAATATGAAATGCCACGTCAGCGTGTTGATTGAATTTGTCAGAGCTGGACCTATCGGTGGAAAAAATTGTTTGATTCTGTTTTTTACGCTCAAATGGAGATTGTACTACTCGAATTTGGCTATCAGATATCTGACACTTCGTCTTAGGCCGTTGTGTGAAAATCCTTTGTATACGAAGACAATTTCTGTAGAACGTAATTGTAAAAGAAATGTATTATAAAACTGAGAAATCTTCGTCTAAATTGTCTAATGTCTTTGGTATCGTGGTCTAGGCCAAAATGATGCAAGAAATTAGAATCCAGAAAAACTCCTAAAGTCCCCTTCCTGAGGGGCCACCATAGAGATATTTTATCTGCATCAAAAAGTCAAAAATCATTTATTCATATAGGTAACACAATGTACACTTATGAACGTCAAAAAAGACCATTACAATGGCTCGTCGCTATTGGCGGTAGATTAAAAAACCTTGTGCGTCATTGAATAATTAAAAATATTAATTACTTTTTAAAGTTAAACGGTTTTATTGAAGAAAAACAATAAAATTATGAAGACTGAATAAATAAATGTGTTAAACACTAATGTTTTTGTGTTAAAATGATTAAGGGAAACTGTTAACCATGATACGGTATTAGCTGCTTATTATGCATAATGCATATGTTTCATCTTATACTTAGATATAGAATTATAGTTTGGGGAAATTTAGTCGAAGTAAATAGGGTATTTAAGGCTCAAAAGAAATGTATAAAAGCATTTTGTGGAGCAAACTGTCTTGATAGTTGCGTACCTTTATTTAAGAAGCTAAAAATTTTATCTCTTCCCTGTATTTATATATTAGAAATGTCCTTATTCGTGCACAGAAACCTACATATTTTTAAGTCAAATGTTGAAGTCGAAGTAAGAAGTAGACATGGGGAGAAATTATGAATAAGATGTCATGTGGAACATGGTGTAATGTTTGCAGCTCCTTACAAACGTTGTGTAAAAAAAAAACATGGCCATTAAAAAGAGTGGCGGAGAGTTTATTGCCAGTTCTTCTCTTCCGTTCTACGCCCTTGATTTGAGAACTGGCACTAAATGTAAAATTAGAAGCATTAATATTATGTATTTCTTTGCTGACAAGTCATAAGTGTACAATGTGTTACGCATATGATTAAATTATATTTGAATTAGCTGTGCTGAAAATCAATCTGGAACTGTTTAGGAAAAGCACCTTTTGTATGACCATTAAGGTTTGCAATAATTTATTAAAATAATTAAAAGATCTTCCGACTAGATTCTTTAAAAATCGACTTGGTGTATTACACTAGGAATAAATTTATTATACAATAAATGATTATTTGCGTGAGACACTGTAATTTGATAACGTATGATATGTACGATACAAATAATATAAGAACTGACCAATTCATATGACTAATAATGTAAAAATTCCTCTAAATACAAATTTGCGCGCCATTGTGTGTGGCAGAATATGCAAACAATTACCTTACACATTTTTGTACCATATTCTTGCAATAAAATTATTATTATTATTATTATAGGGCATTGAACAGAAAAACATGTCGTTTTACTTCAGCTATCGTTTTATAAAATTAAAAATATATTACCCACACGGTTTTGAATGTAATCTATACTTATATAATTGAGATGTGAGGTGATAGACAATCGTTGGATCAGAACCGATTTTGAAAATTCTTTAAGAGTCAAAAAGTCAAGGTCAAATCATTTATTTTAATAAGGCCTATTAAAAAGGCATTTTTGAAAGTCAAAATTACAAATTAATAATATTTAAATAAATTACTGTATTTGCCCCTTCAAAATGTAGTTTTGGAGAAGAATGGGCTTGAGTAAGTATGGAGTATACTTACTCTTTTAAAATAGTTTTTACGATATTTTGTATACATTGATTTGATACTTATATGTGTAGACCATGTACCAAGAATAAAAAACAACTACTATACTAACATAAAAAAGGCGCATGGTGGTATAAAACAATTCAGCCGTTAACTAAACTATTATTTAGATATGGTGCTCACATAATTTTACAAATATTGCAACTATAGATTTTACATTATTAGTAATAAAAAAATAACATACAGTCAACTAAGATAAAGTTACGTTACATGTGAATGTCATATACCCCGAAAAATATTACCCGGGTTAAGGCTTCCAGGGTCCTGAATGCGTGTGCTAACGCCCGAACCTAATAATCAATCCACAATCTCAGATTGAAAACAATCTGAGATCAGACCGTGACAGTCGATCGATCTCCTATCTGCATCCCAATAACCAAACACTACGAAGACAATCCATTTTTGGCGACGGATAAAATGCTCTTTGTGGTTCCATTTTACCGAGTTTTCACTCATGTGTGATGATCAATGTAAACCAAATAAAGTAAATAAAACCGTACAAATAACATTAAAATATACATGTGTATGTTTAAAACGTAACAAACAGTTTTTTTAATTATTTAAAAAACTGGTGTAAGTTAAAATCTGTTAAAATAATTAACTGTTGAGATCGAGCTTTCGTTAACTGTCATTTTCATACAAAGGTCTATCCACAGACACCGATACGACATCCCAAGGATAGCTTGTATCGACAGATGGCTATTACAATCCGTCGATTGGTTTTGGCACACTTCTTACAACATTTGGATTAAGATTACTATCTCAGATGGTGGATTATGGATTGAGATAGGTTATTGGCTTCGGGCGTAAGCCGGGTTAGCGTTTAAGCTAATTAGATGGCTATTTACGGTAAAATTTCGCTTGGTCTAAAAATGTCGTCTTTTATTTTTAATGTCGTGACTAGTCACGGATGGATAGATTGATTGTAATTACAGTAGGTTTACTTATTTTCGCCAAATTATTCACTTCTAGTATTTCTATATGTTATCTAGATACAGCCATAGCCATTACATTTTCTAAAATAGCAAGCTTTTTCTAAACAACCCGCTATGAACGTCATACAACTTTGTATCGAGTTTAAATTAGTTCGGCTCAGATGCACTACACTCTAAAGTAAATTAATAACCAGCTTATTATGAGCACTACAATTTTATAAAGTTTACTAGCTGACCGGGCAAACGTCGTTTTGCCATGTATATCAATTATAATAAAAAAATAGGGGTTGATCGTATAGGGGTGAAAGTTAGGGGTTGTATATATTTTTTAATTCTGTATCATAAAAAATAAAAACAGAAAAAAATATCTAAAAACAAAAAAAATATTTAGGGGTGGACTAACA